ATTGCTTTCATGATGCTTTCAATTGCTTTTTTTTCCCCTTGTTTTCTTGCTTCATATGTTTCCCATTCAACTTCCTGGAGCCCATACACTAAGACTGACCTCACCCTTTCATTCTCCCACTGCATATCCCTGTGTATCCCCTCATTCAATTTGATTTCCTCCATTGCAGCTTTCCTTTCTTCAGTTTCACTAGCTAATGTACTTGGGCTCAGTGGCCTGTCATTTTCCCTTCTCGGCTTTCCCTGGGCTCTGCTGTGGTCTGTTAGGGCCTCCACATATAGCTTAGCTCTTTCATTTACTACAGTCTCCACTGATTGAGCTTCTACATGCAGTTTTGCTCCTTCTTTCCCTACAGTCCCCTTATTTGTGACTGAGGTAGCAGTCTCTGTTGTCAATCCCAAAATGTTCATTAGTTCTTTAGGCTGTTTCAGATTTTTCAGTTCCTCTTCTAAACTCTGTATCCTGGCCTCTGCTGCTTTGACTTGCAACTCCCACTTCCTGCTTTCCATGTCTATTCTCTCTTCCATTCTCATGCTAAGTTCTTCTAGTTTCTTTTCCCATTCATGTTCTCTTTTTGTGAGCTCTGCTGCTCAATCTTCCTTTGCAGTTTCCTCCTCCTGTCCCTTGGTTTTTCTTGTTGCTCTCTGGCAACACATTTTTGTTTTATCCTGATTGCCTCAGAGTGGGAAACCTATGTAATTCTGTATGTTAGGTTAGTATTGTGTATGTCAGAGTGTGGGGGGGGGAGGTAGTGGAGGAACTGTGGCTATGTGGGAGAGTAGTGGGGAGGGGGAGTGGGAAGGAGATAGAAGCAAGTGGGAGAGGGAGAGGGGGAAGGAGGGAGGAGGTGGGGAGGGGGAGGTGTGTGTGTTATGTGTATGTGTGTGTGTGTGTGTGTGTGTGTGTGTGTGTGTGTGGGTGGGTGTGTGTAGGTGTGTGTGGGTGTGGGTGGGTGTGTGTGGGTGTGTGTGGGTGTGTGTGTGTGTAGGTGTGTGTGGGTGTGTGTGGGTGTGCGTGCGCACACTAGGCTACGCTACTCTTTTGAAGATTATAAAAAAATTTTCACAATCAATTCCTTATTAATATACACTAATATATACTATATAATATTAATTGTGTACACTTGTGTTTGTGTGTACACTTGTGTTTGTGTGTGTGTGTGTTTACTAGCTTGTCATTCTTTGAAAAAGAGGGGGGGAGTCACGTTAACACTATTTGTTATTGTTCTTGGTTCACCAGTACTCTCCCGGCCCAGATCTTCGCACACTACGCTACTATACTTTTTGAAGATTATAGGATTATTTTTCTCAATTCCTTATTAATATATACTAATGTTTATTATAATAATAATTGCGGGTGCACACGTGTGTTTGTATGTGCGTACTTGTTTACTAGCTTGTCGCTGTCAGAAAAACGGGGGGGGGTTCACTAGGCTACACAACTCTTCTGGAGTTTACCTGGAGATATTTAGATAATTTACTAAACATTATCAGGGTTACCACTATCTATCTCCTGGTACTGAAATAGGGAGAGAGTGATGGTATAGCATACAACCAGCAGGGCGAGACACTGAGACTTTAGACACTAACCAAAATTAACCACAAATAGGCAAGTGATGTCGTCTGCACAACAATGGAGGTTCCTGCTGGTCAGCTGCTATCAACTCCTTCAATTTTGTAACTCCTTCAGGAACTTTATCATGCATTCAAGTTTTTATTTTCTTTTTCTTTTAAGACTTGGTATTCCCTCTTTTTTCTTTAGTACAGTATTATGGTCATAACAAGTCTGATGATGTTAGCTACATTCACAACACCAACAGCTGGGGATTGACCAATTTTTTCTTACTTTCAGTATTTACTTAATCACTCTTTTATGACCTTATCACTACACTGCTGTTATAACGAACTAACATATGTATTTGTTAATATTTGTTATTATTAGCTGTAGCAGAAATGTTTAATTCTTTGCAGTGTTCAAGAGTAAACACATGATGTCACCGTCTAATACCTGTCCGAATAGCCATTCCAATATGCAGTCATGAATGGGTTTACATTATTTATACTGTAGTTTAATAGAAAATAATGAACAAACAAAACACTCACCACACTGAGTGGTGGGAGGGCTGGCTGCCAGTTGCAGGGGTCGGAGGGAGGGTAGTAGGGACTCACAGGTGGTGGGAAACTTAAATATGATTTGACGGCTGGGAATTTGGTGGCTGGGAATTTGGCGGTTGGGAATTCGTGAATGTGTGAAGCCCGTGAAAGTTCAAAACGTGAATGTTGAGGGAGACCTGTATAGGAGAAAGAGAAGAGGGCCAAGAACACTTCCCTGTGGGACACCAACTGTAATTGGTTGTGCGGAAGAGTTTGCCCCATTTGCGTACACATATTGGCTTCTGTTGCTGAGGTATGACTTGAGGGAGTGCCCTCTTATACCATAGTGTGACAATTTTATGTGGAGCAAGTCATGGTCAACTGTATCAAAAGCTTTACGTAAGTCAATGAAGATCCCCAGTGGGACTTCTTTTTTCTCTATTGCAGTGTATATATGTTCTAGCATGTGTATAATAGCATCATTAGTATTTTTATTAGGCCTGAATCCAAATTGGCAGGGGTTGAGTATGTTTTGGGAGATGAGGTAGGAGTAGATTCGTTTATGAATTAATTTTTCGAAGATTTTTGAGAGAGGGTGTAAGTTGGATATTGGCCTATAGTTATTCAACTCTGTTTGGTCTCCTCCTTTATGGATCGGGGTGACCCTTGCTATTTTGAGAACTGTAGGGAAGGTGGAGGATTCAATGGATTTGTTAAAGAGTGTTGCAATGATTGGTGATAGCACTTGTGACACTTTTTTGTATATAAAGGGTGGTAAGAGAATGGAGCGAAACAGAATAACTTCAAGAGTGTATCAGTCTGTAGTGGAAGGAAGGCGGGGTAGGGGTCGGCCTAGGAAAGGTTGGAGGGAGGGGGTAAAGGAGGTTTTGTGTGCGAGGGGCTTGGACTTCCAGCAGGCATGCGTGAGCGTGTTTTATAGGAGTGAATGGAGACAAATGGTTTTTAATACTTGACGTGCTGTTGGAGTGTGAGCAAAGTAACATTTATGAAGGGGTTCAGGGAAACCGGCAGGCCGGACTTGAGTCCTGGAGATGGGAAGTACAGTGCCTGCACTCTGAAGGACGGGTGTTAATGTTGCAGTTTAAAAACTGTAGTGTAAAGCACCCTTCTGGCAAGACAGTGATGGAGTGAATGATGGTGAAAGTTTTTCTTTTTCGGGCCACCCTGCCTTGGTGGGAATCGGCCAGTGTGATAATAAAAAAAATAAAAAATAAAAGGGTGGTAAGGTATTGTGTTAAGGATGCTCGAATACAGAAGTTCTGCATCTTTCACCTCCATTTCCTTTTTTGTGTGAATGATGGTGAAAGTGTTGAAGGATGATGAAAGTGTTTCCTTCTTTTTTGTATCACCCTGCCTCAGTGGGAGATGGCTGACATGTTGAAAAACAAAAAAAACAGAAACTCCACCCAGTGGCTTGCCCCAGTTTTCCTCACATCCACGTTACTTCTTCATTTAACATTATTTTCATTGTATATTATTTTCTTATTCATGTCTTATTAGTTATGTCTTTTGCTGTTTACTTTGTTTCTTTGTTTCTCCATTTGTATGATTGTTGAGGCTCTTCACATTCTACACAATCTCGCTTGTGTACACTGATAGCATAATCTTTACCCATGTCATAACCAAACTACCATATGTAATTCCCTGATGAATATTTCAAGTGTCCCTGGCAGTCTTCAAGCTGGCACTGGACAAGCACCTAAAGTCAGTTCCTGATCAGCCGGGCTGTGGCTCGTACGTTGGTTTGCGTGCAGCCAGCAGCAACAGCCTGGTTGATCAGGCTCTGATCCACCAGGAGGCCTGGTCACAGACCGGGCCGCGGGGGCGTTGACCCCCGGAACTCTCTCCAGGTAAACTCCAGGTAATAACGTCTGAAGACAGTTAAAATGGTGCCAAAAACTCTAAAAGATTTTACTTGTGGTTGCTTATTCAAAGATGAATTTTTAGAGGAAGCAGAGCTTCAGAGGCAGATAACAGTAGATTCTTATTGTTACTTCCCAGTATCTTTTTTTTTTTTTTTTTTTTTTTTTTTTTTTTTTTTTTTTTTTTTTTTTTTTTTGTGAAAAATAACAACACATTTACCATCAATCAATTCTTTATATTTGTTTAATTTAATGAGTTTTTATGTCAAACTTTCTTTAAGAAGTGCATTTTTAGTTGATCCATATGGTAATGCAGTTGAATGTAATACCATAAAATGGCATTGTGTTTTTAAGCCTTTCTAAAACTCCTATGGATTCAGCACTTTTCTCTGAGTATAATAATAATATAATAGTAACCAAAATTTCAGAAAAAGATTCTCTTGTTTAGAAAAGTTGCTGTCCTTGTTCAAAATCTAAAGTGAAATGAAAATTTTTCACTCTGGATTTTCCTGAATCTCGGAGATCATTCCTAATTCAGAACATATATATGTATTGGTACAGTATTCAGAATTTGGTGAAATCTTAATAAAATAGAGATTATTGTATGGTATTATCACATTATTAAAACAATACAAGGCTACATAGACTGCAGTATAACTAAAGTTGTACCACTTTAGAAAATGATCTCAAATTAGTATTTTTGTACTATTCCTTTCAAGATAAATTTCAAAGAACTTCATTTTGTCTTCATTACTAAAAACACACTGTTGCTCTGCACAATATTTTGCTCTCTTTGTCTTCTCTATTGATTTTGTACATTAATAAAAGATAATTAAGATGTTTTAATAGGTTTGCAAATTTTACATTTCTAATTGTAATAATGCAAAGCAGCAGTACTAGTCAGAATTGAAGTTTATTATGTAAATATGAATGCTTTTGTATTTTTTAGACATTGCTAATAAAAAATTAGCATAACTTTTGTTCATATAATATACTCTCACTACCTTTATTTCCTATCATGCAGGTACTACAGTGCTTCTATAATCACAATGGCAGGTGTAACAGATAAAACTCTTGCTATTTGGCTAGCTGCAGCTACATCATCAATGAACTTTCTTGGCACATTCATCGGTCTTTATCTCGTCGAGCGCCTTGGTCGTCGACTGCTAACATTAGGGTCACTGTTTGGGACACTGGTATCCTTACTTGTGTTGGCTTTGAGTTTCCAGATGGCTTACATCTACAGTCCAACAGTCTCAATGCCAGAGACTGATCCAATCTGCCAGGCTGAGAAGTAAGTTTTACAGTATAGTAATTTATTTAGCAATACTGTAGTTTTGCTTCATAGTGGTATTTCAGTGGAATAGTATGCAAAAGGATGTAGTAAGTGTTACAGTCACTGGAAGCTTTAAAATTTTTACAATAAATTAAATATAGCTTCTCCTCACTTAGCAACATACTGATTCACCGACGACTCAAACTTACAACGGGCTCTCTGACCAATATCGAACTTACAATGGGCTCTCTGACCAATATCGAACTTACAATGGGCTCTCTGACCAATATGCATACCTAAATAATGTACGTATATTAGAGCTGATTTCCTCTACTCCGTTTATTACAATATACAGTACACTACTGTATAAACATTTAAAAATATACCAGAAATGTTATAAACGGTGCAAAGGTGACATTAAAACAATTTCAAATATGGTTGACAGAAACCCACTACCATTATAGTATGCTCCTCTCTTAGCGACGAATTTGTTTACCAACATGGTCTTAGGAACGGAACTCTGTCGTTAAGTGAAGAGAGGCTGTACTAAAAACAGCATACCATGAGCTTAGATTTCTATCTGTAGCTAAAAATGGGTACTGTAATTGCATTTTAGAGTGTGTGCAGTCATTCCTATGAAGTTCCCTTAAAAAATACAGGATGTTGATTCAGTTCTAGGATTACTTATCTTTATACATTTTTATTGGAAAACTCCTTATGGACATGCTAAAACTATAAACAATTCATCTATCTTAGGGAGTTCCTACAATAATATATAATGTGTTTTATCATAGCTTTCATGTGCACCTCTTATGTTGGCAGTTGTGGTGTGTGTACCAGCAAATCTGCCTGTGGTTTCTGCTTTCTAGATGATGACTTCAACACCACTGACTCTTTCTGTCTTGCTGCTAATCATACATCCTACAATGAGGTATGGAAGTTCAAACATGTATGAATTGTATTAAAAGAAAAAGATTACAGATCTGCATTGATTTGTAAACTTTCAGGTTTTTATTGTAGTATAGTACAAGTATTAATTTTGTGGTAATGAAGTTTTCATTTTTTTTTTCAACACGTCGGTCGTCTCCATCCGAGGCAGGGTGACCCAAAAAGAAAAAAAAAATCCCCAAAAAGAAAATACTTTCATCATCATTCAACACTTTCACCTCACTCATACATAATCACTGCCTTTGCAGAGGCGCTCAGATACGACGGTTTAGAAGTCCCTCCAAACTGCCAATATCCTAAACCCCTCCTTTAAAGTGCAAGCATTGTATTTCCCATTTCCAGGACTCAAGTCCGGCTAACCGATTTTCCTGAATCCCTTCACAAAATATTACCCTGCTCACATTCCAACAGCTCATCAGGTCCCAAAAACTATTCGTCTCCATTCACTCCTATCTAACACGCTCACACATGCTTGCTGGAAGTCCATGCCCTTCGCTCACAAAACCTCCTTTACCCCCTCCCTCCAACCTTTTCGAGGTCGAGCCCTACCCCGCCTTCCTTCCCCTACAGATTTATACGCTCTCCAAGTCATTCTACTTTGATCCAATCTCTCTAAATGACCAAACCACCTCAACAACCCCTCTTCATATTTCAATATAAATTGACCTTTTTTTTTTTATCCTGGCTACGAGATTTGTTACTGAAGGTATTATGAATATCTTTCTTCATGCCTCCTGATTTTTCTGTATTTTATTAATTTTGAGGATGACAAATCTCTTGAATTACCACTTGTCAGTTATGTACTGCACTTGGCATTTAGCATCTTTAAAGCTTTCTTCCCTGTAAATTAGTTTATTATGGAAGATCTAGTTTACCAAATCTTAACAACACCCTCCATTCCTTAGACCTCAGACTTACTTTTAGCTAAACTACTACCCTTCGTAGTAATCTAGTTTGTACCTCTCCTCCTGCCACTGACACTTCTGCAGTCTACGCTGTTTCCTGCTTTTCTTGTCCTTTCCAATAGTTTGGAGAAACTGGCCACTCTCTTTCTGACAGATTTTAAGAATGCAAAAGAAGCATTAGCTTTGCCGACACTAACAGTGCATTTTTCTATCATGTTAGAGATCACAGTCATCCTATTAACTGGTCCTCTGCCAAAACTGCCTACCTTTCTTCTAGCCTTCACAATTGCCACCTTGTTGAAGCATTCCTTATACCATTCCTTATACACAACTTTCCTAATATAAATTTTAGTCCTGGCTTTGTCTCTGTAGATCCCTTCCTTTCTCATTAAACTGTCACATGCTCCCAACTTCGGAACACTTTTGACTTGACCTAATTGTTATCTCCTCCTCTCCTTACCTCTTCTCTATTCCTATATTTTCTTTGCCTTTCCTGTCTTCTGCCTAAGTGGGCTCTGTCCTAAGGGTTTTGTCCCACTGAGATTTGGTTCTACCCTCATTGGCCATTAGTTCTCCTGCAATGCTCCTCTTTTCTCTTGTTCTTAGACAACCTCCACTATTACTTTAACTACTATTACTTCTACTGCTATCTCTTCACAAAGTTTTCACCCTCTAACCCTGTTTTTCACCACCACAACTACTACTACTGCTACATTCTTATTGTCACCTCTACCACAGTTGCACTACTTTTTCTACTACTACCACTTTAATACTGTTCCCTCCTCTTGTTATGCTACACTAATCCCCCCCCCCTCTCATGTATACACAAATAACCCGCACTTTTCTTCTTCTTTCAACAAACCGGCCATATCCCACCGAAGCAGGGTGGCCCAAAAAGAAAAAGAAAAATTTCTCTTTCTAACTTTAGTAATGTATACAGGAGAAGGGGTTACTAGCCCCTTGCTCCTGGCATTTTAGTTGCCTCTTATGACACGCATGGCTTACGGAGGAAGAATTCTGTTCCACTTTCCCATGGAGAAATAACCCGCACATGGGCGAATAAAACTTATGATGATGTTTTGGTCTGACTTGGACCATTAACTCGTGTGACTAGTTAATGGTGAAAGTTGGACTGAAACACTGTGATAAGTTTCAGTTTCCTATGTGTGGGTTGTTTATGTACTGTTCTTGTCATGGCATTGTGCCTTTTTATTTATTTTCTTTTTTTTTTTTTGACATGCTCCCACCAAGGCAGGGTGACTTAAAAAAGAAACACTTTCACCATCATTCATACTTCCACTGTCTTGCCAGAGGCACTCAGATATGACAATCTAGATGTCACTCTAAACAGCAAATATCCCAAACCCCTCCTGTACATTCCACCTCCAGGACTCAAGTCCAGCTAACTTGTTTTCCTAATTTTTTTTTAATATGTCGGCTATTTCCCACCGAGGCAGGGTGACCCTTCACAAAATATTTCCCTGCTGACACTCCAACAGCATGTCAAGTCTCAAAAACTATTCATCTCCACTTACTCCTGTCTAACACTCTCATACATGTCTGCTGTATGTCCAAGCCCCTTGCACACAAAACCTCCTTTATCTCTCCCTCCCTCCATTCTTCTACAGAAAGATCCCTGCCCTGCCTTCTTTATTATGAGTATGATTATTATTATTATAATATTCAGAAAATGCTAAACCCATGTGAGTGTTAACATCAAGGAAAAGAAGTGCTGGGTGGGTTCATGTACCATAGAGGAAAGTCAGTGTTAATGTATTTATTGCTCCATAGCTTTCTACTTATTACCTCCAGATGAGTGTATCAGGACTGTGTGCAAATTCTTCACTGCTGGACTCTGGCACCGTGACCTTCGCTTATGATTGGTGCCCCTTCGCATATGCATGGGTCTCCTTGATGGGACTTGCCCTCTACCTCTTATGTTTCTCTCCAGGTGAGTCCTTTGCCACTTGATTCTAATTCTAATTTATTTATGAGTTAACCCATGTAGACTATTTAGTGTAAGGAGTGGTGGATGCTCAATCCTCTTCCTTCTTATCCCGAGACACATGTTCTACTTATCAGCATGCTGACAGCTCTTTTTCTCTTGCAGCATTTTTTCCTGATCCTGCCTTAAATTTTCTGCAATTTGCTATGAATATTTTTTCTAAAACTTTCACCTTTTTTAATCACTGTTTACAAGTGATTTTGCACTATCAGGTATGGGACCAATGCCATGGACCATCAATAGTGAAATTTACCCTGGGTGGGCTCGATCAACCTGTGTCAGTATTACCACAGCTGTCAACTGGGCTTCAAACCTTCTGGTGTCTCTCACTTTTCTCACACTCACAGAAGTTCTACTCAAGCATGGTATGTCTAGTAGTAAAACCTTAATATAAAAATTGTTTTTAAAAGCTTTTCAGTACTGGCATATTTCCTGTTAACAGTATTTTTAGCTTGTATTATTGTACATCACAATGGATTTTCCTTTCAATTCTTTAGTATTTTACTTGCAGAGCTATTATTGTAAAGCATATAAAGACTTGGTGACCTAAAATCTACTGTATTATTCTCATTCACAAGAGGTGTAATATTACCTGCATGTTTTGTTTAGCCAATACTGGCTTGTTTTGGACTGAAGAAGCACTTTTGTTAGCAAGGTATTTAACTAAACAAAAATGTATTCACCCTTGTAGCAACCAATTTGCCACACAATGTTATGTCTAGAGTACATCTGTATTCAAGCCATCACGCTTTTTTCTGAGAGTTATGTCAGCAGAGATGCCTATTGAAGGGTCTTCCAATCTCCGTTAACCTCAACCATGGATCCTCAATAAATTACTCCCTATCAGTTAACTTACTGGTAGGTAGTAGGTTGGTAGACGGCAACCGTCCAGGGAGGTACTACCGTCCTGCCAAGTGAGTGTAAAACGGAAGCCTATAATTGTTTTAAAAGATGGTAGGATTGCTGGTGTCTTTTTTTCTGTCTCATAAACATACAAGATTTCAGGTATGTCTTGCTACTTCTCCTGACACTCAGGTCACACTACACATGAATGTACAAGCATATATATGCACACCCCTCTGGGCTTTCTTCTATTTTCATACTAGTTCTTGTTTATTTCCTCTTATCTCCATGAAGAAGTGGAACAGAATTCTTCCTCCATAAGCCATGCGTGTCGTAAGAGGCAACTAAACTGCTGGGAGCAAGGGGCTAATCATCCCTTCTGTATACATTACTAAAGTTGAAAAGAGAAACTTTCATTTTTCTTTTTGGGCCACCCTGTCTTGGTGGGATATGGCCGGTTTGTTGAAAGTAGTAGTATTTAACTCTCTGCTACCTTTTGATTCATTCATAGGGAAGCAAAAGAAAATAAGGAAAGGAATGTCCTCCAACAATAGTGTTGATTATTTTTGTTATATTCATTGAGGCACAATAAACCTGTAGGAGCTGTACAGTTGCTAGGTAATTCAGGTTTCCTCCAAGGAAGGGGAGAGTAGCTTCAATTCTTTGGATCAAGACCCCCATCACCATCATCAAGGCACTCTCTTTGATGTAAAGCTTCCTTTCTCCTGGATTTAGAGGACCATCTTCCCCACAGTCACAAGACCTGCTTTCTCCCCCATCTTTGGCAGCAAAAGTTAGGAAGGCACAGACAGTAAGAAAGAAATATATGAACTGGGAAGCAATTGGAAGTGAAGATAATATAGCAGATCTCTATCCACATGGTGCCATTTTTCTTTTCCCCTCGTAGTAATGCTTTGGTCATTTGACTGTTTTGCTTGCAAGTGTCTTAAAACTCATGGCAACAACAGACTCCTTTGTTGGCCCTTGAGCTACATGTTCAATGACTTCTTAGACAATGAAGCTTCAATCATTTTATGAATTTGTTGCCCATTCCACATTAAAACAGTTCTCTCTCTCTCTCTCTCTCTTTCTTTTTTTTTTTTTAATCTGTGTGATGTAATACTGTACTTTAATGTATTTTTCTTTCCAGGTGCATTCTACTTGTACATGGGGCTTGCTGGACTTGGTTTTATGATTTTCTTCCTCCTGCTGCCTGAGACTCGGGGTGTGCCATTAGAAGATATAGGAAAATTATTTTCTGGGTCAATCTTCCATATATCAAGGAGAGTTTAATTAACATATAGACACAACAGCTTTTCTGAAGCTTATTTCTTAGGGGATTAAATTGTGTAAGTTATGCTTTTCTCTTCAGTATGAAAACGTATAAATAACATCTCCATTATATTTTCTTACATTCTTAAAGTTTCATTATATATTACTGTACCTTTTGACATTTAGGTACATAAGATTTTTATATATTGAGGGCATGAAAGCTCATGTCTAAACCAATTTTATATTTCTTCCACATGGGAATTACCATAATCAAGCTGTTAGTTTTCATGGCTGTGATATTTACATTGATATACTAAGACTGGAATAACCAAAGAAACTTGAATTGACACAGACTAGGACATTGTATAAAAATCATGTGTAATACACTATATCCTGTACATTATACATAAACCCTCAGTTTAATGAATTAATAGGGAGGGGGGAGATAGGTTGCTGCTAATGCCAATTTTCTATTGAATGCAAATGATAAGATTGTTTTTTGTAACTATAATGGACAATTCTGAATTTAACCCGTAAACGATCCAAACATATATATATACGTTTTTTCAACATTTGAAAGTATGTAAAAAAAGTAGATATTTTTTTTCTTTTTACATTTGAAAATGTGTAAAAAACTTTGATCTACTTTTTTTTTTTATGTTTGAAAATATGTAAAAAAAAACGTAGATCTACTTTTGGAGCACTACACATGTGAACGTAGATCTGCTTGGACCGTTTACGGCTTAATGAACTTTGCCTACTGTATACAAATATTATTCTGCCACAGATTTTTGTCCATTTGGTCTTAAATCCATTATATCAGGGGTCCATTAAGTTGAGGTTTCAATGTATTTCTGTGCAAAATTAAGATTTTTTTTAATATATTGTGCTTTAAGGTTGTTTAAGATAAGACATGTTTGCAAAAAAAGATAATTTATTGAGAAAATATTTTCACCTGTTAAGACTTTTATCAAGTCATACAGAGGATACAAATTGCACATATATGTACAAATGTGTACTGGCAGGAGAGGAGGTGAGGTGAAGAATTGTGGGTCTGTAGAGTACCACAGGAAGTAGACTGAACTACCATGTTGAAATGCTGGCAGGCTCCTGGATGATGTTTATTCCTGCACAGTTTTATTTCCAAGAATGTCCCTGTTAATATCATGTGTGTCAGTGGTTTGGTGTACTGTATAGGTATGACAGGCTCCAAGAGAGATACAGATATGTCTGTCACAGTCATCATTGTCATCAACTTATCCAACAAGGGTATGTTCACATATATGAATGATGGTAACCTACCTGGAAGTAGCTTACTCTTGGAATCTTTCATACATAAAATTCCCACTTGCCAAGCCACCAGCACATGCTATACTACAAGGCCCTTCTTGGCAATAAAGTTAACACACAATTTAGAAAATGGACAGATTGTCAACATAAAATAATGATTCCTAACTAGTCATAAGTTTGCCTGTGATACTCCAATATAGAAACTATGTATTGTACCAAAACAAAAGCATTTACATTGCTAAACTCACAAACTAGTATTTGTCACTTAGCATTTAGTCACTTAGTATTTAGTCAACTTACTCCACAATTTGTTATAATTTAGGGTTAAGAATTAATCTAAGTTTGCCCGAAATGCCTAGCCATGCTAGGTGTTCTAGTGGCCCCCTCTGTAATTAGTAATTTACTACATGTAAACCACACAATAACCAAAATCTGTAAACCCTGCATTGTAATCCTTATAGAGAATAAACTTTGATTTGATTTGATAGTTGTCCAGTGTACCTCCTGGAGTATGTCACTGACCAACAAGTTATCATTTTTCAACAATTTCACCCACCTCACATCCTACCAGTATACAGTAGGGCCCCACTTATACGGCGGGTTAGGTTCCAGGCTGTTGCCGGAAAGCAGACATCGCCGGAAGGCAGAATGCCATTTTTTTCCACTTATAAATGCATATAAATGCCAGACAACAAGTTTACACTAAATTATATTAAGTTAGTAATAGAACTAGGCATTAAAAACACACAAAGTAAAATACATTCACAGTACATTCATTACTTATCTTAAAGTATTTGTAATCTTAATGTAGGGAGAGAGGTGAGTAGTACTTATTTGTAGGAAGTCAGGTGCAGGTAGCCCAGATGTAGGTAGCCCTGGCTCCCCATCTCATATTTAATATACGATATTTAAAACATCCCAGAGAGATAAAATACTCATACAGTACATACACTCATTATTTACCTTAAAATATGTTTTTTTTTTTTTTTCAACAAGTCGGCCGTCTCCCACCGAGGCAGGGTGACCAAAAAAGAAAGAAAATCCCCAAAAAGAAAATGCTTTCATCATCATTCAACACTTTTACCACACTCACACATAATCGCTGTTTTTGCAGAGGTGCTCAGAATACAACAGTTTAGAAGCATATACGTATAAAGATACACAACATATCCCTCCAAACTGCCAATATCCCAAACTCCTCCTTTAAAGTGCAGGCATTGTACTTCCCATTTCCAGGACTCAAGTCCGACTATATGAAAATAACCGGTTTCCCTGAATCCCTTCACTAAATATTACCCTGCTCACACTCCAACAGATCGTCAGGTCCCAAGTACCATTCATCTCCATTCACTCCTATCTAACACGCTCACGCACACTTGCTGGAAGTCCAAGCCCCTTGCCCACAAAACCTCCTTTACCCCCTCTCTTCAACCCTTTCGAGGACGACCCCTACCTCGCCTTCCTTCCCCTATAGATTTATATGCTTTCCATGTCATTCTACTTTGATCCATTCTCTCTAAATGACCAAACCACCTGAACAACCCCTCTTCTGCCCTCTGACTAATACTTTTATTAACTCCACACCTTTTCCTAATTTCCACACTCCGAATTTTCTGCATAATATTTACACCACACATTGCCCTTAGACAGGACATCTCCACTGCCTCCAACCGTCTCCTCGCTGCTGCATTTACCACCCAAGCTTCACAACCATATAAGAGTGTTGGTACTACTATACTTTCATACATTCCCTTCTTTGCCTCCATAGATAACGTTTTTTGACTCCACATATACCTCAACGCACCACTCACCTTTTTTCCCTCATCAATTCTATGATTAACCTCATCTTCATAAATCCATCCGCCGACACGTCAACTCCCAAGTATCTGAAAACATTCACTTCTTCCATACTCCTCCTCCCCAATTTGATATCCAATTTTTCTTTATCTAAATCATTTGATACCTCATCACCTTACTCTTTTCTATGTTCACTTTCAACTTTCTACCTTTACACACATTCCCAAAACTCATCCACTAACCTTTGCAATTTTTCTTTAGAATCTCCCATAAGCACAGTATCATCAGCAAAAAGTAACTGTGTTAATTCCCATTTTGAATTTGATTCCCCATAATTTAATCCCACCCCTCTCCCGAACACCCTAGCATTTACTTCTTTTACAACCCCATCTATAAATATATTAAACAACCATGGTGACATTACACATCCCTGTCTAAGACCTACTTTTACCGGGAAGTAGTCTCCCTCTCTTCTACACACCCTAACCTGAGCCTCACTATCCTCATAAAAACTCTTTACAGCATTTAGTAACTTACCACCTATTCCATATACTTGCAACATCTGCCACATTGCTTCCCTATCCACTCTATCATATGCCTTTTCTAAATCCATAAATGCAATAAAAACTTCCCTACCTTTATCTTAATACTGTTCACATATATGCTTCACTGTAAACACTTGATCTACACATCCCCTACCCACTCGGAAACCTCCTTGCTCATCCGCAATCCTACATTCTGTCTTACCTCTAATTCTTTCAATTATAACCCTACTGTACACTTTTCCTGGTATACTCAATAAACTTATTCCTCTATAATTTTTACAATATCTTTTGTCCCCTTTTCCTTTATATATAGGGACTATACATGCTCTCCGCCAATCCCTAGGAAGAGAGGTGAGTAGTATTTATTTGCAGGAAGTCACTATAGGTAGCTGGTTGGTGTAGCCTGCCTGGGCTACACCTACCGGCTACCTACACTGTGGGCCAGAGCCATATTATTAACATCGACATACCTTGTTCACTGAATTTCTAAAAACTACCTTTAGATGCCATCATAAACGAAGGGAGAAGTAATGAATAATTCATGCCGAAAATTGTAAACAAAAGCGGAGTGAGGGAGTGGCTGGGCCAAACGCAGATTCATACACGTTTTCTCTGATGGCTGAGCAGAGAAAACGTAATGTTGTCCCTCCACCCGGCTACCACACAGCTCCACAAGTATTATTATCAGAGCACATATAAAATGTGCAATAAATGCCAGACAGCAAGTTTACACTAACTTATATTAAGTTAGCAATAGAAATAGGCATTAAAAACACAATAAAAGGTAAGATACACACAGAGTACACTTATTACTTACCTTAAAATATTAATATTAATGTGTGAGAGGTGAGTGGCAGGGTGTTTGTTGAATAAAATCAGAATGGCACACCATCATCCTCTAACTTAGCACTTAAAGCAAGAGGCTTACGACTCCTCTTTTTATCACAGCTAACCTTAGATGCCATCGTCAGTGAGAGCCAACTAGTTAACAAAAGAGTAAACGAGAGAGAGAACGAGATACAGAGTTCAGACAATGTAAGAACACAAACTGAACAGATAGTGGGCGATCACTTGGTCAGGCGAAATAAATGTGTATTAATATGTCTACTTTTAGTTCATTCACGTACGTTTGTAAGAGTTTGTAAAACATTTACCTCGATATTTTTTTATTATAATAATTACCTCACAATACAAATAGTCTTACATTGTGTACAAGTTGTACAAGTTAGTTCAGAATAAACAAACAGTAACACACCATTTTTGTGAATGAAGATATTATTATTATTATTATTATTATTATTATTATTATTATAAAAAGCACTAAACCCACAAGGGTCGTGAATTGCTATATATAGAGTGAAGGCATATGAAAAGAATATTTTTCTACAGTTATCCCCCAGTTGGACTAGAGAAAACGTAATTCTTCCGACACTACCTACACGGCTGCTTTGTAAACAAATCTCATATTTACGTCAATTTCTATTCTGTGAGTGCATGTATCATGTTTATATGCTATGTAAAGGGTTTCATATATAATTTTGAGAAAAATATCGTAGATGGATTAATGAAAATGCCTATATTAATGTAAAATAAGACATTTAGTGTGCCCAAGAATGATTATTATTACGTAGTATTGGCGTCATGAGTAGAGAGAGACTTAGCAATTTTAATGTGTACCTGCACACCAGCACAGTGTGTAAGTATATTTAGGTACAGGTACACATAAGTATAATTATCAGAGTACATATAGAGAAGTTCGTGAGGCAGTAGGTAAAATGAAAGGAAAAAAGGCAGCCAGGATTGATGGGATAAAGATAGAAATGTTAAAAGTAGGTGGGATATAGTTTTGGAGTGGTTGGTGCAATTATTTAATAAATGTATGGAAGAGGGTAAGGTACCTAGGGATTGGCAGAGAGTATGCATAGTTCCTTTGTATAAAGGCAAAGGGGACAAAAGAGAGTGCAAAAATTATAGGGGGATAAGTTTGTTGAGTGTACCTGGTAAAGTGTATGGTAGAGTTATTATTGAAAGAATTAAGAGTAAGACGGAGAATAGGATAGCAGATGAACAAGGAGGCTTTAGGAAAGGTAGGGGGTGTGTGGACCAGGTGTTTACAGTGAAACACATAAGTGAACAGTATTTAGATAAGGCTAAAGAGGTTTTTGTGGCATTTATGGATTTGGAAAAGGCGTATGACAGGGTGGATAGGGGGGCAATGTGGCAGGTGTATGGTGTAGGAGGTAAGTTACTGAAAGCAGTGAAGAGTTTTTACGAGGATAGTGAGGCTCAAGTTAGAGCATGTAGGAAAGAGGGAAATTATTTCCCAGTAAAAGTAGGCCTTAGACAAGGATATGTGATATCACCGTGGTTGTTTAATATATTTATAGATGGGGTTGTAAGAGAAGTAAATGCCAGGGTCTTAGCAAGAGGCGTGGAGTTAAAAGATAAAGAATCACACATAAAGTGGGAGTTGTCACAGTTGCTCTTTGCTGATGACACTGTGCTCTTGGGAGATTCTGAAGAGAAGTTGCAGAGATTGGTGGATGAATTTGGTAGGGTATGCAAAAGAAGAAAATTAAAAGTGAATACAGGAAAGAGTAAGGTTATGAGGATAACAAAAAGATTAGGTGATGGAAGATTGGATATCAGATTGGAGGGAGAGGGTATGGAGGAGGTGAATGTATTCAGATATTTGGGAGTGGACATGTCAGCGGATGGGTCTATGAAAGATGAGGTGAATCATAGAATTGATGAGGGGAAAAGGGTGAGTGGTGCACTTAGGAGTCTGTGGAGACAAAGAACTTTGTCCTTGGAGGCAAAGAGGGGAATGTATGAGAGTATAGTTTTACCAACGCTCTTATATGGGTGTGAAGCATGGGTGATGAATGTTGCAGCGAGGAGAAGGCTGGAGGCAGTGGAGATGTCATGTCTGAGGGCAATGTGTGGTGTGAATATAATGCAGAGAATTCGTTGTTTGGAAGTTAGGAGGAGGTGCGGGATTACCAAAACTGTTGTCCAGAGGGATGAGGAAGGGCTGTTGAGGTGGTTCGGACATATAGAGAGAATGGAGCGAAACAGAATGACTTCAAGAGTGTATCAGTCTGTAGTGGAAGGAAGGCGGGGTAAGGGTCGGCCTAGGAAAGGTTGGAGGGAGGGGGTAAAGGAGGTTTTGTGTGCGAGGGGCTTGGACTTCCAGCAGGCATGCGTGAGCGTGTTTGATAGGAGTGAATGGAGACAAATGGTTTTTAATACTTGACGTGCTGTTGGAGTGTGAGCAAAGTAACATTTATGAAGGGGTTCAGGGAAACCGGCAGGCCGGACTTGAGTCCTGGAGATGGGAAGTACAGTGCCTGCACTCTGAAGGAGGGGTGTTAATGTTGCAGTTTAAAAACTGTAGTGTAAAGCACCCTTCTGGCAAGACAGTGATGGAGTGAATGATGGTGAAAGTTTTTCTTTTTTGGGCCACCCTGCCTTGGTGGGAATCGGCCAGTGTGATAATAAAAAAAATAATAAAAATATAAGTACATATAAAATACACAGTGACTTTAAAACACTTGAAATTTTGGAAAGTTTCCTGACATAATAGATGTGGTCACGGAGAATATAAACAAACCGGGTGGGGCTCGCTGTATTTGAAAGACCGCTTGCTGTATAGCAAATTTTGGTCATAATTTGATATCGCCGTATTAGCGGAACGCCGTAAAGCGGGACCTTACTGTATAAGTATGTACGGTATGTATCCGCTGTATGACTTAATAAATATCTTAAAAGATTATAACATTTTTACCAATAAAAGTGTTTTATGCAATTGTATTTTTTCTTAACTCTTGTAGATAGTACACTATTTGGTTGTGTTATAAAGTTTATTGTTTGTAAAATGCAGTATGTATTTTTAAAACCAAACATGTTTGACAGAGGAGCATGCATGTTTTTAACTTAGCTTGCAAAGTGGTTAGGTGACTATTATAATTCAGAAACTAGCATAAGAAATATATAAACACATTGACTCACATGAGCCAAGATCTCTAAAATTTATTGTAAAGGCCTTATAAAATTCTTAAGAGACTTGTCACTGAATATAACAATCTTTTTTTTTATCTCTAAGTTGGCTCAATTATGCCATAATTGTTGTTCGGTGATCTTTAATAGTATATTTTCCCAGACTTTCACATGTTTAAAAGACCATACTGACGAGGTGCTTGATGAAATAATCCTGCTCTCCATTACTCTGAAAGAAAATCAGTCAATATTATATAGGCTGTCCACATGAAACCTTTGAAACTTGGAATGAACTCAATTTCTGAATGTGCTTTGTTAGCTGTAAATACTTGTTAGTAAATTTAACCATTATGAAAGAGTCTTGTCAGATAGGGCCAAGCCATAGCTTGCAAGCAGCACACTTTTTGTTTTTTCATTCAGTGCCATCCTCAAGACAATATATAGGTTTACCTCTTGTTATAATGCCATTGCTCTAAAGATACATATCATGATTTGGCAAATTTTTTAGCATTTCCTGAAATAGATATCTGAAAATTGTGTGTGTGACTCTTAGGCCATGAAAATTTGGATGCTCCCACTATTTGTGATTAGATAATTACAGTATATAAATGTAGGTTAAAAGAAATATTAAATTAAAGACTATACTGTACATGTTGCATACCTTCTTGTTAGCATCCTGCTCTCTGGCCAACATCTCAATGAAGTTAATATTTGTATTGGCAGAATGACTGTTCCTTGCACTATGTTCAGCACTGAGGCGCTTTCCATACAAATCCTTTATCTAGGAATTATAGTAATGTGTGGATCATCAGACAAAGGTGAAAGATTGCATTCACAATATTTTTTCCATATAACAGGATAAATGACAATGTGATCTATCAGTTTTGATAAATAGTAAAAGTTAAGGCTTAACTTTTGATAGATACATTGCAGTGAAGACTAATAAAAATGCAAAGAAGAAAAAACTTACCTAATAGATAATGAAATCAACCTTGATTAGAAACTTGTGTGAAATATTCCAAAAATCAGATACAATAGTGGTACACAATGGCATCCCCAAACATTAAATGAACAAAACATTATCACAGAACTGATCTTGATGGACAGTTATTCACACTGTTGAAATGCACTGGGTTATCCTAGGTTAAATCTATATCATTTACCATCAGTGCATGTTTACAAATATGCAGTGCTCTTTAAAAACATGTATAGCTCACATGAATAACAATTTATTATTAATAGAGTGACCTAATGAAGAAAAAACATTCAGTGTCACTCATTCAATACTAGCATTGTATGATCCTTTTGGGTTTAGCACTTAATTTGAATTTATTCTCCTTTCTTCTTTCAACAAACTGGTCATATCCCACCTAGGCAGGTGGCCTAAGGAGAAAATTTAGTAATATATACAAGAGAAGAGGTTACTAGCCCTTTGCTGCTGGCATGTTCGTTGCCTCTTGACACCACGCATGGTTTACGGAGGAAGAATTCTGTTCCCTTCCCCACTGAGATAAGTGGAAATAAACAAGAACAAGAACTAGTAAGAAAATAGAAGAAAACCCAGAGGGGTGTGTGTATATATATGCTTGTACATGCATGTGCAGTGTGACCTAAGTGTAAGTAAAAGTAACAAGATGTATCTGAAACCTTGCATGTTTATGAGACAGAAGAAAGACACCAGCAACTTTATCATCATGTAAAACAATTACAGGTTTCCATTTCACGCTCACTTGGCAAGATGGTAGTACATCCTTGGGCGGCTGCTGTCTACCAACCTACTACCTAAATTATATTATTATTATTATTATATTATTATTATTATTATTATTATTATTATTATTATTTTTATTATTATTTATTATTTTATTATTATTATTATTATTATTATTATTATTATTGTTGTTGTCATTTGTTCAATGGTTGTCTTACCAAAAGTGCATAAACATCACAATTCATATGACTCCTGAACTACAACATCCCCACCAGCTCCCAATACAATTATTCAACTTCCTCCATAACACTAAAATATTAATTTTTCTCAGTGCACAACAGTTATGGTATCAGCAAGCCTCAGACTGATAAATACACCAAAATGAACTAGTCACAAAATCCTAGCTTGAACAATTCACAATTAACTTACAAATTGGAAAGAGACTTGGACAATCTATTATGGGTCCAGTATGAAGTTTTATCTTGATAATGTTTCAGTGTACGTATACTAAAACATCATCTAGTTCTCATTTCCAAGTTATTGGTTATTTGAGAATTTATAATAAAGGGTTCACTGAAAACAAAGGCAGCTTTCCTGGCACACCTATCACTTACCTTCCTGAGAATATGTCCGTCTGGGTCACGGTCAGGGCCCAGGAGCCGCAGGATTCGGTCAGTAGGTTCACTTATGATAATGTTAGAATCTTCGTCTAAGATGTGGAAACCCAGATGCCTCTTTTCGTTGAAACCAGACATCTCTGCCTCCAACTCTTCCTCCAGCTCCTTCTCTACCTCATGACCATCATCCTCTACAGCTTCTTCCCGTCTCTTTGTTTCCAGCTGTTGAGCCATGTGCTATACTAATTTGATTATCTGGCAGATGTGCTTGAATGCTATTGGGGTGCTCTTTAAACTAGGAATAATAAAAATATATATTCATGTGTGTACTCTGAGCTGTGCTTGTGGGGCTTGAGTCTCTTGAGTCTCTGCTCCAGGGTATGTATACATGTATGTATGAATGGAGATGAATGATACTTGGGACTTGATGATCTGTTGGAGTGTGAGCAGGGTAATATTTAGTGAAGGGATTCAGGGAAACCGGTTATTTTCATATAGTCGGACTTGAGTCCTGGAAATGGGAAGTACAATGCCTGCACTTTAAAGGAGGGGTTTGGGATATTGGCAGTTTGGAGGGACATGTTGTGTATCTTTATACGTATATGCTTCTAAACTGTTGCATTCTGAGTACCTCTGCAAAAACAGTGATAATGTGTGAGTGTGGTGAAAGTGTTGAATGATGATGAAAGTATTTTCTTTTTGGGGATTTTCTTTCTTTTTTGGGTCACCCTGCCTCGGTGGGAGACAGCCGACTTGTTGAAAAAAAAAAATATATATATATATATATATATGTACATGTATGTATGTATGCATGTATGTACATATATATGTACACACACATACACACCCTGTGCAATACACTTCTGTGTATATATTCTGTGATATAATCTTGGTGTATATAGCACCCTGTGAGATAAACATCTCTTGGTGTATAATGTACATATATCCATTTGAGATACATACCTCTAGATGTCGCCCTGCCTCGGTGGGAGACGGCCGACTTGTTGAAAAAAAAAAACAACTAGATGTATATACAATGACATCTCTAGGTGCATATACCCTATGAAATGTATACATACCTCATGGTGTGCATATATTTTGCTTCAAGTACATACTTTACATAATAGGAGGCTTTATTTGTAATTGTATCATGTTGTGTTTATATCAGGTGTATCTCTACTGTAATCAGACATACTGGGAACCCTTCCACTGCAACTTCTCTGTATTTCTAATGAAATAAAGATTTTCATTTTCATTTTTATTTTCATTGTCATATGCTGTTGGTGAGACCTGACAATGAGTCAGCTCCTAGAAAACATGAAACGTAAAAACTTAATGGGACACAGATAAATATTTAAGTACACAAAATATCCTTTTACTTAACTATGTTTACAAATTATTATTACTATTATTATTATTATTATTATTATTATTATATTATTATTATTGTCATTGTTGTTGCTGTTTTTGTTATTAGTAGTAGTATATATTCAGAGGTGCTAAACCAGTAGGGGTTATTCATCACCTGGGGCATGAAAGGTAATCAGGTATGATCTGAGGAAAGAGAAGACAATTTTTTGGCCCTTGCCAGGTGTTGATGCTGAAGGGCTCTTGATCAAAGGCCCCTCAAGGAAGGTTCCTTGATGTTGGTGAGGGGCTCTTGATTTAGGGAATTGGATCTGTGCTCCAGTTCCCCGAATTAAGCCTGAATGCCTTCCGCATCCCCCCCCCAGGCGCTGTATAATCCTCCGGGTTTAGCGCTTCCCCCTTGATTATAATAATAATAATCTTGATCAAAGGAATTTTACATTCCCTTCCCTTGAATCAAATCCGAGTGTCTCCCAGTTCCCATTCCCCATGCAATGTATGATCCCAGTGGGTTTAGTGCTTCCACATGAAAGTAATAATGATGATCTAGTTCCTTTGATCAAGAGCCTCTTGCCAGCACGAAGGGTGCCCATACGCCTAATACACAAATAACCCGCACATAAAAGACAGAAGCTTACGACGACGTTTCGGTCCGACTTGGACCATTGACAAAGTCACACTAACAGAGGAGGAGCAGGACGGCTATATATAGGCAGGAAGAGGTGGAGGTAGTAGTAGTGGTAGTAGTGGTCCTATTACTACTACCACTACTACTACCTCCACCTCTTCCTGCCTATATATAGCCGTCCTGCTCCTCCTCTGTTAGTGTGACTTTGTCAATGGTCCAAGTCGGACCGAAACGTCGTCGTAAGCTTCTGTCTTTTATGTGCGGGTTATTTGTGTATCGTTCCAGTCACGGTATTGTGCCTTTTTGTTATTTATACATACGCCTAATGTTTCAAAATCCCTCACAATATTATTTTATCATTTTGATTAAAATAATAAATTTGAAATATAATCGTGAAAAGAAATCAAGATTAAAAAAAATGGAATGGGTAGGGTTAGAACTCATGGCAAGCGAGTTGTAAAACCCCAGGCCAGTGCATTACCCACTGGGCTTACGTATTGGCCTGTGAGTTTTACGACTCGCCATGGGTTCAAGCCCCACCCGTTCCATGGTTTGTGAGTCAAAATGTGATTTATATAGAAAATATCCTTTGCTATATCTAAATTGTTTTTAGACGTGGGAGGTACCTTGATGTTGGTGAGGGTTGTACTGCATGGTGAGAGGGAGGTACTTTGATGAGGGGATTGTACCGCATAATGTGGGATATAGGTACCTTGATTCCGGTAACGGGGTTGTACCGCATGGTGCGAGGCAGGTACCTTGATGATGAGGGGGTTGTACCCTTATGGTGCGAGAGGTACCTTGATGATGAGGGGGTTGTACCGCATGGTGCAAGGGATATAGGTACTTGATGCTGATGAGGGGGTTGTACCCTCATGGTGCGAGGGAGGTACCTTGATGTTGGTGCATTTCGGGCAGACTATACTAATACTACCTGAGAACCAGACATAGGTTATTAAATGGGAGATTTTTTAAACGTACAAAAAGTGAGGTAGCTAAGTGAACAATAGTACAATTTTAAGTATGCATTAATACAACAAAAAAGAGAGGTACCTAAATGAAAATAGTTTTAAGTAGTATGCATATTACAACTACCCTGAAATTTATACTTAGCAAGATAAGAGTTATGTATATTTTATTCTTGATGACCATAAACATTATGTGAGACCGAGGTTTACAAAACATGAAAGCGTGTAAGAATTATAACTATGTAATAAATGTTAATGAAAGTTACCTTGTGAGCGAGCACTAGGCTGCTAACAGCTGTCATAAACAGCAATAACAGCGTGATTGATCTCTTCATGTCGCTGAAGTTATTGCCTGTTGCTGTTGCTGATGATGTTGATAACACTGATGCTGCTGCTGATGAGGAGGAGGATAATGTTGCTGCTGCGACTGTTAGTGCTGTCGCCTCTGGTCAAAAGGCATTGGCCCTCCCTCTTTCCTCCTCCTCCCACTCTGTGGGGGTTGCCTTTCTTCCGGTGAGGATATCTTGATCCAAGAAATTGAAGTTATCTTCCCTTACCTTGGACTGAATCTGATTACTTTCCACCCCCAGTTTCTGCATGGCGCCAATGGGTTTAGCGTTTCCCTATGTATATAAGAATGTGATGTAAATGGTTTATAAAACTACCATGCTGGTGCATGAGGGAGTTCAGGGTGGTGTGAGTGCCAGCCACAGGTGTTGTGGGTGCCAACCACAGGTGTTGAGTGCCTGGCACTCGTGACAAGGATGAATGGAGATTACTCTCCAATTCTCAATGTGATTTATCTTTACTGGTATTTAATACTCGATATCTTAGAGATTATCACCAATTTTATTTTACTCTCCATATATATAGGTTACCTTTTCCTTCAGTAATGACTCATAAAGACTGTGTATGAAGTATCTATTAAATATATATAATAAACAGCAATGCAAATGAGAAGTCACACGTGTGTTATTAGTGCAAACATTTATTAATGATGGCCACGTTATTGTTATTATAATCAAGGGGAAGCGCTAAACCCGTAGGATTATAGGGCGCCCGGGGGGAATGTGGAAGGCATTCAGGCTTAATTCGGGGAACTGGAGCACAGATCCAGTTTCCTAAATCAAGAGCCCCTCACCAACATCAAGGAACCTTCCATGAGGGGAATGATGGCCACAGATGACGCTGATGTAGTGTTTACCTGAAGTTTACCTGGAGAGAGTTCCGGGAGTCAACGTCCCCGCGGCCCGGTCTGTGACCAGGCCTCCTGGTGGATCAGAGCCTGATCAACCAGGCTGTTGCTGCTGGCTGCACGCAAACCAACGTACGAGCCACAGCCCGGCTGATCAGGAACTGACTTTAGGGGCTTGTCCAGTGCCAGCTTGAAGACTGCCAGGGGTCTGTTGGTAATCCCCCTTATGTGTGCTAGGAGGCAGTTGAACAGTCTCGGGCCCCTGACACTTATTGTATGGTCTCTTAACGTGCTAGTGACACCCCTGCTTTTCATTGGGGGGATGGTGCATCATCTGCCAAGTCTTTTGCTTTCGCAGTGAGTGATTTTCGTGTGCAAGTTCGGTACTAGTCCCTCTAGGATTTTCCAGGTGTATATAATCATGTATCTCTCCCTCCTGCGTTCCAGGGAATACAGGTTTAGGAACCTCAAGCGCTCCCAGTAATTGAGGTGTTTTATCTCCGTTATGCGCGCCGTGAAGGTTCTCTGTACATTTTCTAGGTCGGCAATTTCACCTGCCTTGAAAGGTGCTGTTAGTGTGCAGCAATATTCCAGCCTAGATAGAACAAGTGACCTGAAGAGTGTCATCATGGGCTTGGCCTCCCTAGTTTTGAAGGTTCTCATTATCCATCCTGTCATTTTTCTAGCAGATGCAATTGATACAATGTTATGGTCCTTGAAGGTGAGATCCTCCGACATGATCACTCCCAGGTCTTTGACGTTGGTGTTTCGCTCTATTTTGTGGCCAGAATTTGTTTTGTACTCTGATGAAGATTTGATTTCCTCATGTTCACCATATCTGAGTAATTAAAATTTCTCATCGTTGAACTTCATATTGTTTTCTGCAGCCCACTGCTATGACATTCAATTTCTTTGCACAGAGGTAAATATAATAATAATAATATCTTTATTTCTACATGTGCATGTACGAGGTATTCAGGCATAGCTGACGTCATTGACATACTACAATACAGAAAGCCCCTTGTTATGCAGAGTATTTCGGACAAATTAGGTCAGTTTTATCCCAGGATGCGACCCACACCAGTCTGAAGTTTACCTGGAGAGAGTTCCGGGGGTCAACGCCCAACCGGCCCGGTCTGTGACCAGGCCTCCTGGTGGATCAGAGCCTGATCAACCAGGCTGTTACTGCTGGCTGCACGCAAACCAACGTACGAGCCACAGCCCGGCTGGTCAGGAACTGACTTTAGGTGCTTGTCCAGTGCCAGCTTGAAGAATGCCAGGGGTCTGTTGGTAATCCCCCTTACGTATGCTGGGAGGCAGTTGAACAGTCTCGGGCCCCTGACACTTATTGTATGGTTTCTTAACGTGCTAGTGACACCCCTGCTTTTCATTGGGGGGATGTTGCATCGTCTGCCGAGTCTTTTGCTTTCGTAGTGAGTGATTTTCGTGTGCAAGTTCGGTACTAGTCCCTTTAGGATTTTCCAGGTGTATATAATCATGTATCTCTCCCGCCTGCGTTCCAGGGAATACAGTTTTAGGAACCTCAAGCGCTCCCAGTAATTGAAGTGTTTTATCTCCGTTATGCGCGCCGTGAAGGTTCTCTGTACATTTTCTAGGTCAGCAATTTCACCTGCCTTGAAAGGTGCTGTTAGTGTGCAGCAATATTCCAGCCTAGATAGAACAAGTGACCTGAAGAGTGTCATCATGGGCTTGGCATCCCTAGTTTTGAAGGTTCTCATTATCACCACGCATCTAGAAACCCATCAGTTACACAACCCAGGGCAACATGGGTTTAGAACAGGTCGCTCCTGTCTGTTTCAACTATTGGACCACTACGACAAGGTCCTAAATGCACTAGAAGACAAAAAGAATGCAGATGTAATATATACAGACTTTGCAAAAGCCTTCGACAAGTGTGACCATGGCGTAATAGCGCACAAAATGGTGCTAAAAGGAATAACTGAAAAGTCGTCGATGGATCTATAATTCCTCACTAAGCAGAACACAGAAGAGTAGTCGTCAACAGAGTAAAGTCCGAGGGAGCTTACGGTGAAAAGCCTGTTCCACAAGCACAGTACTCGCTCCCATCTTGTTCCTCATCCTTATACCCTGACATAGACAAGGATGTCAGCCACAGCACCGTGTCTTCCTTTGCAGATGACACCCGAATCTGCATGACAGTGTCTTCCATTGCAGACACTGCAAGGCTCCAGGCGGACATCAACCAAATCTTTCAGTGGGCTGCAGAAAACAATATGAAGTTCAACGATGAGAAATTTCAATTACTCAGATATGGTAAACATGAGGAAATTAAATCTTCATCAGAGTACAAAACAAATTCTGGCCACAAAATAGAGCGAAACACCAACGTCAAAGACCTGGGAGTGATCATGTCGGAGGATCTCACCTTCAAGGACCATAACATTGTATCAATCGCATCTGCTAGAAAAATGACAGGATGGATAATGAGAACCTTCAAAACTAGGGAGGCCAAGCCCATGATGACACTCTTCAGGTTACTTGTTCTATCTAGGCTGGAATATTGCTGCACACTAACAGCACCTTTCAAGGCAGGTGAAATTGCCGACCTAGAAAATGTACAGAGAACTTTCACGGCGCTCATAACGGAGATAAAACACCTAAATTATTGGGAGCGCTTGAGGTTCCTAAACCTGTATTCCCTGGAACGCAGGAGGGAGAGATACATGATTATATACACCTGGAAAATCCTAGAGGGACTAGTACCGAACTTGCACACGAAAATCACCTCACTACGAAAGCAAAAGACTTGGCAGACGATGCACCATCCCCCCAATGAAAAGCAGGGGTGTCACTAGCACGTTTTAAAAGACCATACAATAAGTGTCAGGGGCCCGAGACTGTTCAACTGCCTCCCAGCACACATAAGGGGGATTACCAACAGATCCCTGGCAGTCTTCAAGCTGGCACTGGACAAGCACCTAAAGTCAGTTCCGGATCAGCCGGGCTGTGGCTCGTATGTTGGTTTGCGTGCAGCCAGCAGCAACAGCCTGGTTGATCAGGCTCTGATCCACCAGGAGGCCTGGTCACAGACCGGGCCGCGGGGGCGTTGACCCCCGGAACTCTCTCCAGGTAAACTCCAGGTAATGGGGTGACTAGACTACCTTTCACGCCATAAGTATTGGGTGACTACCACCCACACCATAAGTAAGTTTATTCAGGTATACACAAATACAGTTACGTAGATTATCATACATAGCAGCATATGTGTAAAGTACCTAAGATAACCCAAAAAGTCAGACAGGGTGACTGATTTCCATAGGTTTTGAGTGACTACCACCCACACCATGGGTATATACAATACAATACAATACTTTATTTGGACATGATACATAGTTGTACAAGGAATTATAGATTGGTATTCATGCCAAAAGCCCCTTGTATGCAGAGCATTATGGGCAATATTTGTTGCCAAAAGCTTGGCGATGAAACAAAATGGAACAAGATTTCCTTTGTAAATAGAAACAGGAACTTTTTAGAAGTTCCCAATTAAATCAGGTGGACCACCTTGCCAAGCCCCAGATGAGTGCCCACACCCCATCTGAGTTCAGTAACCGGCTGACCATCAAAACCGTTAAAGAATTATACGCTAGCGAAAAAATGGAGCTGGCTGAAAGTAAGCCGATGACCAGGTGTCCCTCATGTAATGTGCCCGGCGGGCAAAGTAGATGAGGACAAACGTCCCTGAGAGAACGGGGCAAATTTGTCACTAATGCTCAGGCGAGAGCTAGACGTTCACTGGAGTATACCTGGAGAGAGTTCCGGGGATCAACGCCCCCGCGGCCCGGTCTGCAACCAGGCCTCATGGTGGATCAGGGCCTGATCAACCAGGCTCTTACTGTTGGCCGCACGCAACCCGACGTGTGAACCGCAGCCCGGCTAGTAAGGTACTGACTTTAGGTGCTTGTCCAGTACCTGCTTGAAGACAGCCAGGGGTCTATTGGTACTCCCCCTTATGTATGCTGGTAGGCATGTGGAAAATTGCATTTACCTGAATGTAACTAATTATGTACATAACAGTAAATGATAACAAAGATAATTATTATTTATCAATGTTACATAGACAAGTAGGAATTTGGGACACCTAGGTCGCAAAAATGTCCCCCTTCGATACCTACCACTGTCATAACCACAAGTTGCTCTGGACCTATTAATTAAATGAAATATACATACACCAGGAATACTGGTAAATATATAAATTTGTGGACTGTATATTAAAATAATAAATGGTTATATATATACACAATTACATAACAGAAGGAAAATATAATCTTAATATCACTCACCAATTTGACTGGAGATTAATGTGTATCATACTCAGAAAACCTCACTCTAACTAAATCTATGAAAATAACGCTGGACAGAATTACACACAAATCTAGAGAGCTTATCTGAGGTTCCTGGAGCTGTCTTGTCCAGTCGTCTGATATCTCAAGTTATGCAGGAATGCACATCCACCAATTTCGCCTCCTATTTGAGAGATGTCAACACAATTTTAACCTCTAGAGCACGAAAAATTCTTCCCATTACACCAACGTTTATACAAAATTCAAAACCAAGATGGCGAGTGTCCTGTCTGCGCAGGCGCAGGTCCAGTTTCCCATTTTCGATAACATACTTCTTTTAACAATACAATATAGGGCATCTATTTACCTATAAATTACCGTATTTCCGGAAAATATACAGTATTTTCCACACTGCGGCCAGGCGGAGGTCATTGCAAAACGACTCAAATTGCTGATTTGGCAATGGTAGAGGACCTGGGTACATATAGGATCTGGCATCCACAAGGCGACATATTACACAAGATTTAATCACCCTTTTTACACTTTGCCGTCCTTGTGGAATCCAGGAAGTTTCCCTAATACAATTTAAGGTATCTTGTACCCCACCATGCATTACATTTTTATGGGCATTTAGAACAATCAAATTTGTTAGATGATGGGTTTTGGGTAGTAAGATAGGGTGTTTAGCATAATCACCCAATTCAGCATTTTGTAACCTACCTCTGCACCTAATTACACTGTTCTCTAAATACAGCCCCAATTTCTCTATTAAGATAAGATAAGATAAGATTTCGTTCGGATTTTTAACCCCGGAGGGTTAGCCACCCAGGATAACCCAAGAAAGTCAGTGCGTCATCGAGGACTGTCTAACTTATTTCCATTGGGGTCCTTAATCTTGTCCCCCAGGATGCGACCCACACCAGTCGACTAACACCCAGGTACCTATTTGCTGCTAGGTGAACAGGACAACAGGTGTAAGGAAACGTGTCGAAATGTTTCCACCCGCCGGGAATCGAACCCGGGCCCTCCGTGTGTGAAGCGGGAGCTTTAGCCACCAGGCCACCGGGAACCTTTCACAATTTTTCTTTCTATCATCAATTTAATCTCATTTCCATAGATTTCCTCCTGTACCCTCTTTATCCAATATTCAAGAGGATGTGAAAACTTATATGAAATATTCATCTTGTTTAGAAATTTAAACACCAATTTAGTTACCTGGAGTTTACCTGAAGAGTGTTCCGGGGGTCAACTCCCCTGCGGCCCGGTCTGTGACCAGGCCTCCTGGTGGATCAGAGCCTGATCAACCAGGCTGTTACTGTTGGCTGCACGCAAGCCAACGTACGAGCCACAGCCCGGCTGGTCAGGAACCGACTTTAGGTGCTTGTCCAGTGCCAGCTTGAAGACTGCCAGGGGTCTGTTGGTAATTCCCCTTATGTTTACTGGGAGACAGTTGAACAGTCTCGGGCCCCTGACACTTATTGTATGGTCTCTTAACGTGCTAGTGACACCCCTGCTTTTCATTGGGGGGATGTTGCATCGTCTGCCAAGTCTTTTGCTTTCGTAGTGAGTGATTTTCGTGTGCAAGTTCGGTACTAGTCCCTCTAGGATTTTCCAGATGTATATAATCATGTATCTCTCCCGCCAAGCTCTGATCCACCAGGAGGCCTGGTCACAGACCGGGCCGCGGGGGCGTTGACCCCCGGAACTCTCTCCAGGTAAACTCCAGGTAATACCCCGGCCGGGATTGAACCCGCGGTCATAGAGTCTCAAAACTCCAGCCCGTCGCGTTAGCCAATATGACCGCGGGTTCAATCCCGGCCGGGGTATGGTTTGTTTGCAATCGTGTCATTACGATTTCGTGAGCTATGTCTGTTGTGTTTAGTAACTGTGGGACGACCCCAGTGTCCATGCTCTCTCTTCATAGGATGTTAAAAGCACGTGATAGGGACTTGTAGTTCTTGATGAACACGGAGTTCCATGAGTCTGGGCCCGGGGCAGAGTGCCTAGGCATGTCATTTATCGCCTTTTCGAAGTCATTAGGCATCAGGATAATATCAGATAGGTGTGTGTCTACAAAATTTTGTATCTCTCTTGTATAAAAAATAATTTAGGTCTTCGACTCTCAGTCTGGTTAGCGGCTCGCAAAACAACCGAGTCATATTGAGACTTGAGTAGCTCATTTCCTTGCTGTCTGTGTAGGAGATATCTCGTCCAAGTGGGGGCCCAATACTGGATATTGTTCTCGACTCCCAACGACGGCTGCTGCAGAAGTCCTATAATACAGTCCTATAATACTTTTTATATTAAACTTGGCCCTATAATCCAACAATAGTAATCGGCCTGCGGGCCGCCTCGGTCCTTCAACCCAGCAATAGAATAAAACATTTAAAAGTTTATATATTGACTATATACTGTATAGTCCTTGTGGCTTAGCGCTTCTTTTTGATTATAATAATAATATATATTGACTATAACATTTAATAGTTGCATAAAACAACTACGTACGTGTCTTGAGAAGAATAAAACCTCTGGAGGTAGATGTACGGATTTACATGTCTTTCAAACGAGAGACAGACAATGATGCTTCTTATCTTGATCAACTTAAGGTAAACTTATAAAATGTACCAAGATTAATTATAACAGTCATCTTATATAGTAACTTACGAAGAAATTAATCTAAGATAATCCAGTAGAGTCAAACGCTGTGGCACATTTCCACTGGAGTCATTTAAGGTTTTTGTATTCTGGCCTAAATTAATTCATTGATGAGGCAATGTGATAATAATATGGAACCCAGTAGGAATAAATAAAATTTGTTGGGATTTTTAACCCGGGGGAAGGTTATCCACCCAGGATAACCTGAGAAAGTGTGTCATCGAGGACTGTGTCTTATTTCCATTGTGGTCCTTTAATCTTGTCCCCAGGATGCGACCCACACCAGTCCACTAACACCCAGGTACCTAATTGCTTGTTAGATGAACAGTGATAGCAGTGTATAAGGTGACTAACATCCAGGTACCTACTTATTGCTAGGTAAACTGGAACAGCAGGTGTAAATGAGTTCAACTTTTTGAGTTAAGTAAGTTTATTTTGGCACACTAACAGCACCTTTCAAGGCAGGTGAAATTGCTGACCTAGAAAATGTACAGAGAACCTTCACGGCGCGCATAACGGAGATAAAACACCTCAATTACTGGGAGCGCTTGAAGTTCCTAAACCTGTATTCCCTAGAACGCAGGCAGGAAAGATACATGATTATGTACACTTGGAAAATCCTAGAAGGATTAGTACCAAACTTGCACACGAAAATCACTCCCTATGAAAGCAAAAGACTTGGCAGATGATGCAACATCCCCCCAATGAAAAGCAGGGGTGCCACTAGCACGATACGAGACAACACGGTAAGTGTCAGGGTCCCAAGACTGTTCAGCTGCCTCCCAGCATACATAAGAGGGATTACTAATAGACCCCTGGCTGTCTTCAAGCAGGCACTGGACAAGCATCTAAAGTCAGTGCCAGACCAGCCAGGCTGTGGTTCGTACGTCAGGTTGCATGCGGCCAACAATAACAGCCTGGTTGATCAGGCCCTGATCACCATGAGACCTGGTCACAGACTGGGCCAAGGGGGCGTTGATCCCCAGAACTCTCTCCAGGTATTCTCCAGGTATACAAGTACACATAGCAGCACTGTATGACCATAATGGGTTTATCAGTTCTTTTTGATTATAATAATAATAATAGTAATTATAATTATAATAATAACAAGGACACCTAAGTACAATTATCATATATATTGTAAATTACCTAGGATAACCCAAAAAACTCAGTGATTTATTTCTTGTTGGTTCCCAGTTTAAATTTCCATAATGTGCCATTATTGTATGCCTAAAACATCTGTGTGTCCTCAAAACTATTGTACAAATCTATGATATACAGTGGACCCCCGGTTTACGATATTATTTCATTCCAGAAGTATGTTCAGGTGCCAGTACTGACCGAATTTGTTCCCATAAGGAATATTGTGAATTAGATTAGTCCATTTCAGACCCCCAAACATACACATACAAACGCACTTACATAAATACACTTACATAATTGGTCGCATTGGGAGCTGATCGTAAACCGGGGGGTCCACTGTATTTGTAAAATCTTTTTAAGTTTTCCTGAATAAAGCTTATTTTATATTATTGTATAATTATTCTTTTGAGATGAACTGATTTGCTTATTTTATAGCTTTATTTTCCCTGTCATACCCATCCACTTTTGAGTTATCAGAGGATTACAGAAGTACAAAATGGGTCTGATTGATCCACAAAATTCAGTTGCTTCCCTTCATAAATGTTACCTTTCTCACACTCCAACAGCACTGCAAGTCATAAAAAGTACTTGCTCTTCTTCACTCCTATGTAACACACTCACACAAGCCTGTTGGATGTCCAAGCCTCTAGTACTCAGAACTACATGTATGTATAAGGGATAATTATGGTAAGCCAGGCTTCCTATAAAAATTACAATCATCTACAGTATTATATAGTATTGTAATCTATTTAAGTGGTGTATATGTATTTTGTTGTGTATGCTTGAAAGGTTTTGGTAAGTTTATAACTGCTATTCTTCTCTGTCCTGTGTTTCAGAACAGCAGAGTAAGGGAGCTCCTGGCAGAACATATCCCAGAGGATGAGGCACTTCTCCTTAAGAATGGCAGGTGAGATACATTCAGTTAAAACCCTGTAGAGTAATTCTGCTCTTGGTCACAGGTAGAGAATGAAAGATTAGAAATACAGTAAATACTATACGATACTTGGTTGACACATTTGTGTTTTCAAATTTTGTTATTAGACATTATTATGAAATTGTTTAGAAATTCATGTGATATGTACATAATTATGCTAGTGGTCTACCATTTTCTGTTAATTTGAAATATGAGTTAATGATTACGTTACTCTTCAAAGCAGGTGCCTTAATTCTTATGCAGGGCTCTTCAGCCAAGGAGTTAAGTAAATATATAATTTTTTTTTCTACAAGTCGGCCGTCTCCCACCGAGGCCGGGTGACCCTAAAAGAAAGAAAATTCCCAAAAAGAAAATACTTTCATCGTCATTCAATACTTTCACCTCACTCATACATAATCACTGTTTTTGCAGAGGTGCCCAGAATGGAACAGTTTAGAAGCATATACGTATAAAGATATACAACATATCCCCCCAAACTGCCAATGTCCCAAACCCCTCCATTAAAGTGCAGGCTTTGTACTTCCCATTTCCAGTACTCAAGTCCGGCTATATAAAAATAACCGGTTTTCCTGAATCCCTTCACTAAATATTACCCTGCTCACACTCCAACAGATCGTCAGGTCCCAAATACCATTTGTCTCCATTCACTCCTATCTAACACGCTCATGCACGCTTGCTGGAAGCCCAAGCGCCTTGCTCACAAAACCTCCTTTACCCCCCTGCCTCCAATATGTAAATATTAAAAAAAATGTAGGTCTTTAAATACTATGAGCTCTGAAAACATAGAAATACGTACTGTTCAGCAAGGCAGCAGCAACTTCAGTGTTTCTGAAGGTTATGCATTTATCATGCATATCTTCCATTGATGGTTAAGCATTACACAAACTGTAAGTACATACATACATACATTATAAATCTTAACAAAGTCTCGGTATTATACATGCATTAGTATGGTAATACTGTACATATATAAAGTTTTCTCTTTTTCTCCATTCTTTGTTACAGTGTGACTAGGAAACTTATTTTTTTCAGATATGCTTGCTTGGTGTGCAGCCATCGGCCAGTATGCGACACTCTGCCCATGTTGTCTCGACATAGAATTGGAAAAAAGCATCTTTATTGTGAGTTTATTTAGATATTCAAAAACAGGTTTATGTACAAGGGAAGAGAGCAGTGGATCTGATATTGATATTTAACCCTTTCAGGGTCTGTGCCGTAGATCTACGGCTTATGTTGAGGGTTTAAACCGTGGATCTATGCCATGAGCTCAACTCACTCTGATAAGCTGTGAGTGGTAAATTTGGGCCTAGATATGAGAGAATACATCTATGTGGTATGTGTGCACCACACAAAACAAATCCTGCAGCACACAGTGCATAATGAGAAAAAAACTGAGACCATAATTTTTTATTAAAACAGCAACTTTGCAATGTTTTTTCATATCTTTTTTATAGTTGTATTTGCAATTTCTTGGTCACATTTGATAGAATGGTATGTACGTTACAGAAATAGTGATGATTTTGATTGATTTTAGTACTGAAAATGGCTTGAAACTGAGCTCAAAGTAATGGAAATGTTAAACTTTTGCCGATATTCAAGAGTAAACAGATGACGTCACACATCTAATACACGCCAGCTGGTGGGTCTGATATACGTTCACAAATGTGGTGATATTATTTATACAATTATTACAATATTGCATAAGAGTAAATCTTCTATATTTTGGTTTGAATAAAAATTCATTATGTGAATTAAAAATCAAAATGGAATTCATTTGTAAAGCCTGAAAACATAACTAATGAGCAGAGGAAATTTTAGTTTAGTGCCAGGAATGCCTGCATTGTTTATTCTGGATCCTATTTTGAAATTGGAATGTTTTGAACTTTGCATTAAACGGGCCAAATTACCAATTTCCGATCACTTTATGTTGTAGTTGAAACAGTTGACTTGGCGATTTCGATAGAATAGAAGTAATACTAGTGAAATAGCTTAGAATTTGGTCAACTGGAATAATGTAATTCGCCTAAAATGGGAGTCAAAGTCAGCAAAATTGCCGATGCATAAATATTATTGACACATCAAAATTCGCGAGAGCATAATTTCATCAGTTTTCCATCAAATTTCATACTTTTTGTTTTATTACGTTCAGAAAGATTCTCTACCATTTCATAAGAAAAAAATAAAATTATTTTTTGAAAATTCTTGGACACTAGTGCACACTTTGAAATTTGGCCTCTGGACCCTGAAAGGGTTAACTCCTTTATAAAAAATACTAATTTCACAGAAAATATATAAAAGGACTTCAGATTTTTTTATTCACAGGCCATTTCCCACCAAGGTAGGATTAGAAATATATACAGTAATACAAAATTATGGGTGTGGATAGTATGCATAACATTGTGTTTATCAAAGTAATTTTGCATATTGCAAAACTGTTCATTTAATTAGAGTATTAGCAAAATATAAAGATGCATGATTTTAATACAAAGACTTGATTTTTTTAATTATCATGCCTGTTGATCTCTGTATTTTAGCCAATGGATTTGATGTGTACTATAGGCAAATTTGATCAGTTTGTTGTAAGGTAAATTTTCAGCTACCTTAATTGTTTTTTGGTGCTGAATAACTTGTTCGTCCAAGTCCTTTTGGCTTTTTTTATTTTAAAAAATAGCACCCATTCTCTTGCTCTTGTTCATTGTGAAACCAGGTTACTATGAGAATTTAACTCTATTCTTTTTTATTATGCTGAGCTGGAGTATACCTGGAGGGGGTTTTGGAGGTCATTGCCCCCATAGCCCAGTCCATGACCAGCCCTCACAGTGGATCAGGGCCTCATCAACCAGGCTGTTACTTTTGGCAGCATGCAAACCGATGTATGAACCACAGCCCTGCTGGTCTGGTACTGACTTTGGGTGCCTGTCCAGCTCCCTCTTGAATACAGCCAGGAGTCTGTTGATAATCCCCCCTTGAATATGCTGGGAGGCAATTGAGCAATCTTGAGCATGCTGACACTTATTGTGTTGTCTCTTAGCATATTCATGGTGCCCCTGCTTCTCATTGAGGAAATGTTCACCGCCGAGTCTTTTGCTTTTGTAGGGAGTGATTTCTGTGTGCAGATTTGAGACTATTTGCTCTAGGATTTTCCAAGTGTATATTATTATGTATCTTTCTTGTGTACATTCCAAGGAGTACAGGTCAAGGGAGTTCAACCATCCCCAGTAATTTAGGTGCTTTACTGTACTTATACGTGCAGTACAAGTTCTCTGTAAATTCTCCAGATCTGCAATTTCGTCTGCCTTAAAAGGGGCCGTTAATGTACAGCAGTACTCCAGCCTAGAGAAAAAAAACAATTTGAAGAGAATCATCATTGGCTTGGCATCCCTAGTTTTGAAGGTTCTCATTATCCATCATATCATTTTCCTAGCAGATGTGGTAGAGACATTGTTGTGATCTTTGAAAGCGAGATTCTTTGACATTATCACTCCCAGGTCCTTCATATTAGTTTTTTGCTCTATTGTGTGGTTGGAATTTGTTTTATACTCCGATCCAGTTTTCATTTTCTCAAGTTTTCCATAGCAAAGCGTAACTCAAATTTGTTTTCATTGAGCTTCATATTGTTTTCTGAGGCCCTTTTAAAGACTGAGTTAATATCTGCTTGGAGATTTGCAGTTTCCACAATGGATGATACTGTCATGCAAATAACACATCGGCTGTTTCCCACTGAGGCAGGGTGACCCAAAAAAGAAGAAATACTTTCATCATCACTCACTCCATCACTGTTTTGCCAGTGGCATGCTGATACTACAGTTCAAAATCGGCAAAATATCTCAACCCCTCTTTCAGAGTGCAGGCACTGTACTTCCCACCTCCAGGACTCAAGTCCATCTAACTGGTTTCTCTGAATCCCTTCATAAATGTTACCTTTCTCATACTTCAACATAATAGTATAATATATGCATGAAAATACTATAACAGTAATTTATTTTGTAACATTTTAAACAGGTCTTGCAAAGTTTATGGAGCGAAAGCAGGAAGTGGAGCTCCTCATATTGAAACGTCAACAGGAAACATATTTGAAGACTGGTCAAACTAGCAACCCAGGAGCAACAGTTCTTCCAAATAATAATCAAAGCCATGGCCAAGAATCAAGGTGTGTTCATTTACACTATAATTATTTTTTAAGTTTCTCTAATTTCTGCACATTTACAGGAGTTTTTTTTATCCATCAGTGGAGACAGAGCTCTGAAACAGCTGAACATAGCAAAAATGCTATCAATTTTGCAACATTTTGAAAAGTTCACAAGGAGTAATAGTGAACAGGACTGAGCTGAAAGAGCTTGTACAATAATAACATAAATACTTGGCATACAGTGTCTTTTTCTCAAACTGACATTGAGAGGAGCTTCTCTGTGTAAATATGAAAACATGAAAAATTTTTAAAATAGGAATTACAATTATTCAACATTTAATAAATTCCCCATTGTCATGAGACTTATAAATGAATAAATAATTTTTAAAGCTACAGAGATGCATTTTTCATGATAAGTAATACAGTATTGGACATTCTTAGAAAAAAATCATGGCCATAAATATTACAGCTGAGAAAGACAGAGTAAAATGTTTATCAGCAGTGCACTAACAAATAAAAATACATGTTTGCAGTTTGGAGGAGCATCTGAACTGTAGCATCTGTGCACCTCTTGCAAGAGTGAAAGTGTTTTGTTTTTGGGTCACCCTGCCTCGGTGGGAGATGGCCTGTGTGTTAAAAAAATAATAATAATCAGTAATGGCACATATGTTGAGCTTAGAATGGTGCACTAACATAGATGATTGTTTCTTAAATTGATATTTATATGTAGATGTAGTCCTTCCTATGAGTCCCTTCAGTTTCAGTGTAGATGTATATTTTGTTAATTCTTTGTCATTTTTGAAATACTTATTATATGGTATTTTTTCCAGCAGTTTGTTTAATAAGTATTCTACACACACTAGAGCCAAAAGGCCCTCAAGACGCACTCCTTATAGCCGCAAGGAGACAATTAATATAAAAAGATCAGGTGAGTTTAATATTTCTATGTTACTATGAGCAAAAAAAGTAATTTGTTTAGTTTCACATAGTTGTATTTATAAAAAAAATTATAAGTATGTATCTCTTATCTTTATTTTGTGTTTTATCTGTGAAGTAGTTAGTATTACAACAGTAGCAGTTACATCTTTTTGCCACAAATATCTGTAATTCTAGATATATTGCATCTTTGTAATATACTGATTCAATAGAAAATCCTTTTTTTTTTTTTCAACAAGTTAGCCATCTCCCACTGAGGCAGGGTGACCCAAAAAAGAAAGAAAATCCCCAAAAAGAAAATACTTTCATCATCATTCAACACTTTCACCACACTCGCACATTATCACTGCTTTTGCAGAGGTGCTCAGAACACAACAGTTTAGAAGCATATACGTATAAAGATACACAACATATCCCTCCAAACTGCCAATATCCCAAACCCCTCCTTTAAAGTGCAGGCATTGTACTTCCCATTTCCAGGACTCAAGTCCGACTATATGAAAATAACCGGTTTCCCTGAATCCCTTCACTAAATATTACCCTGCTCACACCCCAACAGATCGTCAGGTCCCAAGTACCATTCGTCTCCATTCACTCCTATCTAACATGCTCATGCACGCTTGCTGGAAGTCCAAGCCCCTCGCCCACAAAACCTTTTTTACCCCCTCTCTCCAACCCTTTCGAGGACGACCCCTACCCCGCCTTCCTTCCCCTATAGATTTATATGCTTTTCATGTCATTCTACTTTGATCCATTCTCTCTAAATGACCAAACCACCTCAACAACCCCTCTTCTGCCCTCTGACTAATACTTTTATTAACTCCACACCTTTTCCTAATTTCCACACTCTGAATTTTCTGCATAATATTTACACCACACATTGCCCTTAGACAGGACATCTCCACTGCCTCTAACCGTCTCCTTGCTGCTGCATTTACCACCCAAGCTTCACAACGATATAAGAGTGTTGGTACTACTATACTTTCATACATTCCCTTCTTTGCCTCCATAGATAACGTTTTTTGACTTCACATATACCTCAATGCACCACTCACCTTTTTTCCCTCATCAATTCTATGATTAACCTCATCCTTCATAACTCCATCTGCCGACACGTCAACTCCCAAGTATCTGAAAACATTCACTTCTTCCATACTCCTCCTCCCCAATTTGATATCCAATTTTTCTTTATCTAAATCATTTGATACCCTCATCACCTTACTCTTTTCTATGTTCACTTTCAACTTTCTACCTTTACACACATTCCCAAACTCATCCACTAACCTTTGCAATTTTTCTTTAGAATCTCCCATAAGCACAGTATCATCAGCAAAAAGTAACTGTGTCAATTCCCATTTTGAATTTGATTCCCCATATTAATTTAACCCCACCCCTCTCCCAAACACCCTAGCATTTACTTCTTTTACAACCCCATCTATAAGTATATTAAACAACCATGGTGACATTACACATCCCTGTATAAGACCTACTTTTACCGGGAAGTAGTCTCCCTCTCTTCTACACACCCTAACCTGAGCCTCACTATCCTCATAAAAACTCTTTACAGCATTTAGTAACTTACCACCTATTCCATATACTTGCAACATCTGCCACATTGCTCCTCTATCCACTCTATCATATTTTTATTATTTTTTTTTTTATTATCAAACTGGCCGATTCCCACCAAGGCAGGGTGGCCCGAAAAAGAAAAACTTTCACCATCATTCACTCCATCACTGTCTTGCCAGAAGGGTGCTTTATACTACAGTTTTTAAACTGCAACATTAACACCCCTCCTTCAGAGTGCAGGCACTCTATCATATGCCTTTTCTAAATCCATAAATGCAATAAAAACTTCCCTACCTTTATCTAAATACTGTTCACATATATGCTTCAATGTAAACACTTGATCTACACATCCCCTACCTACTCTGAAACTTCCTTGTTCATCCGTAATCCTACATTCTGTCTTACCTCTAATTCTTTCAATTATAACCCTACCGTACACTTTTCCTTGTATACTCAGTAAACTTATTCCTCTATAATTTTTACAATCTCTTTTGTCCCCTTTCCCTTTATATAAAGGGACTATACATGCTCTCCGCCAATCCCTAGGTACCGTCCCCTCTTTCATACATTTATTAAACAAAAGTACCAATCACTCCAACACTGTATCCCCCCTGCTTTTAGCATTTCTATCATGATCCCATCAGTTCCAGCTGCTTTATCCCCTTTCATTCTACGTAATGCCTCACGCACCTCCCCCACACTTACATTCTGCTCTTCTTCACTCCTAAAAGATGGTATACCTCCCTGGCCAGTGCATGAAATTACTGCCTACCTTTCTTCCTCAACATTTAAAAGTTCCTCAAAATATTCTCGCCATCTACCTAATACCTCCTTCCCCCATCTACTAACTCCCCTACTCTGTTTTTAACTGACAAATCCATACTTTCCCTAGGCTTTCTTAACTTGTTTAACTCACTCCAAAAATTTTTCTTATTTTCTTTAAAATTTCTTGACAGTGCTTCTCCCACTCTATCATCTGCTCTTTTTTTGCACTCTGTCACCACTCTCTTCACATTTCTCTTACTCTCCATATACTCTGCTCTTCTTATAACACTTCTGCTTTGTAAAAACCTCTCATAAGCTACCTTTTTCTCTTTTATCACACCCTTTACTTCATCATTCCACCAATCACTCCTCTTTCCTCCTGCCCCCACCCTCCTATAACCACAAACTTCTGCCCCACATTCTAATACTGCATTTTTAAAACTATTCCAACCCTCTTCAACCCCCCCACTACTCATCTTTACACTAGCCCACCTTTCTGCCAATAGTCGCTTATATCTCACCCGAACTTCCTCCTCCCTTAGTTTATACACTTTCACCTCCCTCTTACTTGTTGCTGCCACCTTCCTCTTTTCCCATCTACCTCTTACTCTAACTGTAGCTACAACTAAATAATGATCCGATATATCAGTTGCCCCTCTACAAATATGTACATCCTGGAGCCTACCCATCATCCTTTTATCCATCAATACATAATCTAACAAACTACTTTCATTATGTGCTACATCATACCTTATATATTTATTAATCCTCTTTTTCATAAAATATGTATTACTTATTACCAAATTTCTTTCTACACATAGCTCAATTAAAGGCTCCCCATTTACATTTACCCCTGGCACCCCAAATTTACCTACTACTACCTCCATAACATTTTTACCCACTTTAGCATTGTAATCCCCAACCACCATTACTCTCAACTTGATTCAAAACTCCCAGCGCATTCACTCAACATTTCCCAAAATCTCTCTCTCTCCTCTACACTTCTCTTCTCCAGGTGCATACACGCTTACTATAACCCACTTTTCACATGCAATCTTTATTTTACTCCACATAATTCTTGAATTATTACATTTATAGTCCCTCTTTTTCTGCCATAGCTTATCCTTCAACATTATTGCTACTCCTTCTTTAGCTCTAACTCTGTTTGAAACCCCTGATCTAATCCCATTTGTTTCTCTCCATTGAAACTCTCCCACCCCCTTCAGCTTTGTTTCACTTAAAGTCAGGACATCCAGCTTCTTCTCATTCATAACATCCACAATCATCTCTTTCTTATCATTTGCACAACATCCATGCGCATTCAGACTTCCCACTTTGACAATTTTCTTCTTCTTATTCTTTATAGTAATCTTTTGTTAGTTTAGTTAATTTCTTTTTATAGGAAATGCTGCTGAAAATACATAACAGCTCTTTAAGATTACTTGTTATTTAGGCTACCAGAGAATTTTTAATTCAGTCTCATAAATGTTATCAAAAAATACATAATTAGTCTTTCAGCAGTACAGATTATTGGATTATTGTACTGTTAAATACAGCAACAGTTTTTCTTTATAAATTACTGCTAAAATCATTGCCTGACAGGGTGTGTTTCAAGAACTGTAATTCAGAGTGGAGGTTGAAAGAGATGAACAAAGGTAGAATTTCCAAATGATCTGCACCAATTCATTTTCATATATTTTATATATTGGATTTGAAAGAAAGAGAAGAATTTTGTTGTTGATTCAGCAAATGCTTTTTTCTATAATTGGGAGTGGCAGAATGGCAGAAAAGGCCAGAGATGTCGGGTAGTAATGATTATCAGAGAGAGAGAGAAGAGAGATATCCTATTTTGGTTTAGGCATCTAGAAAGGATAGAGGTTTGGCTTACAAAGAATACATGAAACAATGAAGTACAGTTTAACCCTTAAACTGTCCAAGCAGATCTACGTTCACATGCGTAGTGCTCCAAAAGTAGATCTACGTTTTTTTACATAGTATTTTTAAATATAACAAAAAAAAAAAAGTAGATCAAAGTTTTTTTACATGTTTTCAAATGTAAAAAAAAAATAAAGAAGATCTACATTTTTTACGTACTTTCAAATTTTGAAAAAACATATATATACGTTTGGACCATTTACGGGTTAAGGTGGGATCGGTTAGAGTGACATATAGACAATCAATACCATGATTAGGGAAAACAGTTTAGTTCGTTTTTGTGAATATAATATTGATACTTATGATACTTATTTTTATATAGCCGGACTTGAGGCTTGGAAATGGGAAGTACAATGCCTGCACTCTAAAGGAGGGGTTCGGGATATTAGCAGTTTGGAGGGATGTATTGTGTATCTTTATACATGTACGTATATGCTTCTAAACTGTTGTGTTCTGAGCACCTCTGCAAAAACAGTGATTATGTGTGAGTGAGGTGAAAGTGTTGAATGATGATGAAAGTATTTCTTTTTGGGGATTTTCTTTCTTTTTGGGTCACCCTGCCTCGGTGGGAGACGGCCGACTTGTTAAAAAAAAAAAAACTTATGAAATAGATCTCTTGAGTATAGAACAAGTTAAATCATGTTTGGGCAGGTCCCAGTTGACTTAAAAGTCATGATCACCTAGGAGAGGAGTTCCAGAGTTAATAAGATGTTAGATATAAAGTAAATAGCACTTGATCGCAGTCATAATACATAATCTTTGTATTCATTACAGAAGGCTGTAGCATCCAGCAAGAAATGATCTCAAAACACACTTCCAGTGTAGAAGATGAGGTTACGAGATATGTTAAAAAGATTTTGCAGAAGAATGAGTTCAGTGATGCAGTTATGAAGGAGCGTCGTCTGTGTCATTTACCACAGTCTAAAATTGAAACACCAATAACGATGAACTCAGTAAATTTGACTGCAAACTCATTAGGTGAAGACAAACTTCCTGTAGCTTCTGACTTGGCTTCACAAGAAAAAGTAGTAATTTCCCCCAGTTCACAATTCAAACTGGAGAGGTGTAAATATTACCAAAACCTTCGAGCTTCAGGATGGAAGAGAGATTTGTTGGGGAACTGGACTAGGGATGCTGAAGCAGAATTTGACAGTGATGAAGAACCACCACAAGAGTTTAAAGGCCAGTTTCAATAGCAGTTTGTTAGTTAGTATTAATGTTAATATTCATGTAGGAGTTTTTTTAAAAATCTTCAAACTGATGTAAAAAATTATGGGAAAATCATTGTATTAGAGGTCTTAGACCAGTACATAGTTATAAAAGATTTTTTTTTACCACTTCGGCCATTTCCACCAAGGAAAACACATTCATCCTTCAGAATGCAGGCACTGCCCTTCCCACCTCCAGAATTCAAATATGGCTAGCAAGTTTTCCCTGAATCCTTTCATAAATAAAAACTTCATCAGCCCCCAACAGCACCCCAAATTGAAAAAATCAATTGTATCCAATCTGACAACTTCACACATCTGTGGGATGAATAACCTTTACTACCTAAAACTGTTGTCACTCCCTCCTTCCAGCACTTCTGGAATATTCCTCTACATCCATCACAGCTTATACAATTATTTTATCAATCTATCTTGCTCCATTCTTTTTTAAACACACTGGCCATCTCCCACCAAGGTAGGGTGAACCCAAACAAAGAGAAACGCATTCACCATCATTCATTCAGTCGCTGTCTTGCTAAAAGTGTGCTGACATCACAGTTCAGACGTCCCTCCGAATTGCAACATCCTCATCTTTCCTTGAACTGCAGGCGCTTTACTTCCCACTTCCATGACTCACATCCAGCTAACTGGTTTCTCTGAATCCCTTCATAAATGTTTCATTGCTCTCTTTCCAACAGCACGTCAGATCACAGAATCACCTACCTCCATTCCAATGTAACACGTTCACACAAGCCTGTTGAATGTTCCTGCCTCTAGTACTGAAAACCTCCTTTACCTCCCCCCTCCCTCCATCCCTTTCTGGGATAACTCCTGCCCTCCACTCCATATTTATATACTCTCCATCCTTTCTAAGTAACCAGAGTACTCAACTCCTCCTCAGTCCTCTGAATTATGCTTTTGGTAACCTCACACCTTCTAATCTCCAAGCTCCAAATTTTCATCACAATATTCACACCACATAACCCTCAAATATGACATCTCCAATGCTTCCATCCTCCTTACACTGCAGTATTTACAACCCTAAACACCCAAATAACAGTGTTTATACCATTATTCTCTGGACTTTCCTCTTTTTGCCACCATGGATAAACTTTGTCTTCATTGATGCCTCATTGTAGCACCCACCTTTTCTCCCCTCTTCTATTCTGTGATTCACTTTATCTTTCATAGACCTATCCATAGACAGATATCTAAACACATTTGTATCCTCCATACTCCCTTCCTCCATTCTGATATCCAGTCATTATTATTATGTTGGGCGATGTATATTCTGTGAAACTGTAGCTAAATATCCTCCTACCCTTTTCAATGATACCAGACAGACATGGTCAGTGACTTTTATAAATGGTTGATAGTTAATCATTCTGTGCAAAATAATACGATATCTCTCATGGAGTTCCGAGTACATTCACGTTCCACAATAGGGCAGTCAAATCATATATAAAATGTAATAAGCTTTATTAAGCAGATAAGCCTTATAAACTTTATATATAAACTGTAAGTGAATACATATATCAGTGATATTATCTCAATAAATAACATACAGTATATCTCGTAAATTTGATTTCATTATACAGTATTAAAACAGAACAGGTTGCATAAAATTTGCCCAAGTTAACAATTTCCTGTTTTCCTTCTTCGTGTCTTTCATTGATGGAAGACACGTAAAGGTCGTACATTATCTACCACAAATTATAAGTAAAGAACTGTAAACTATCAAACTGCTGAGCACCAAGTGGTGATGTCTGTAGTTTCAAAAACAAGGACTGTATTAAAATTTTGTATCTGGTTTCTGCCTGCACTTCCTTTGTAGGAAGACAGTCAGAGGCCACTGTAGCAAAATCGTATCAACAACAGAATTTAAAACATTGAATTTGTATTTCCTGTGTTCAATCCTTATTAATGTATTAGAAGGTAAATAGTATGTAGATTATCAATAATTGTGGGTAGGATGAGTGCATAGCGTAACAGTGTCAGGAGCGCAGCGACTATCACATTTGGGTTCCATGTTAAAGCACGTCATGTTAATGGCACTAAATCAGGACAGGTACAGACCTTGCTGGTAGGTGTCTGCTCCATATATACTGTTCAGATAACATATACAGAGACTTTGAATGAGTACTTAGGAACACAAAAGCATTCTGGTTTTCCTAACCTTTTCACTGCAATAGTTTAACGAGATTTATTCCCTTATAATTCTTATGCTCTCTCATTCCTTTTCTCTTTATATAAATAATTATGCATGTCCTCTGCCCATCTTGAAGTATCTTCCCTATTTCACACATACAGTCAACAAATTCACCAACCATTCCAGTATATTATTTTTAAGCCTATCCTCTGCACCATGTATGTATGGATGCATGAACTCACACACATATACCCAAACACACGCACGCATATTGTTGTAAAACCTTGCTATGAGCAATGAGCTGGGTTTCCCGAGAATCGTAGAAAATTTCAAAGTAAAAAAAAAAAAAAAAAACTGGTGTTTGCTTCAGAGGTGGTAAATGACGAGGACCTGGCCTCTGAAAATAATGATAAGAGGGCTTATATCACTGATGCTCGTGGCAGACCGACACATCCGTATCCCACAAAGGGATCCAATGAAGGACTGTTGGTTAGATCTGGCTGTTTCCCAACAGATGACAATACATCAAAATTGTACAGAGCTGTACATACCAGATACAATACACATCTAATACAATAAACCACCACTCATAATACATTCAGCACATCTTCACTCAAACATTCAAACATCATGTTACATTTCTTTTAACCAGTTATATTGGGAAATTTAAGACTTGTTGTATCAAGTTTAATAACTTATTTTTGTATGTGGATAATGCATTGATGAAACAGTTATTGAGAGTTTAATTCATTGTCATATTGGGCTGTCAGTCTATCTATTTTGCAAAAGTCTGTACATGTCTTTGTAGTACGTACCAATAATATATTTTAATTGTCTGTAGTGATGATCAAGAACTAAGAAAAAAAGTGTCTACTGAGAAGTGCATTGTTCAGAAATTTCTTAACCCTTAAATGGTCCAAATGTATATATACGTTATCTCGCGTAGCACCCCAAACGTATATATATGTTCATTTGTCATTCATTCAACATTGGCATGATAGGCCTGACTCGCCTAGACATGAGAGAATGGGTGTGCACACTCAGTGTGTGCCATATGAAAAAAAATTGGGTATGCCTGGATACCACATGCTCTTTTTTTCCTAAAAAAAAAAAAAAAAAAAAAAAAAAACTTTTTTTTTTCTCAAAATATTTGGGGCGCTTCGCAGGTGAACGTATATATATACGTTTGGACCATTTAAGGGTTAAAGAGACATGAGATAATGTGTGCAACACCACAAACAATGAGTGTCTGCCTAAAGTGAAAAGCAGAAAATTTGCTATTTTTGCAGTTTAAATAGAAAATAGCAACACTTATTTAAAAATCTAAAAATTTATACAGTATACATTACTATTAAAAAGCAGTAATAATTATAAAAAAAAAATGAATATCCTTATTGTTCAACCTAAACTCTTGTTTGATGCTTATGGAGTTATATTAGTGTATTGCATCCTTGAATTTCACTTGGAAGAGTGCTGAACAACACACATTGAATTTAGCATTTTTTTTTTCTTGTGAATAATTTTCACTGGATCATTTTGCTTTCATAATAATTAACTGTTTTGTGCTGATTTGAAACCATACCCTTCAGTACTTTTCAAGTGTAGATTACCATACATTTTTCTTACCTACACTTCAAAGAGTACAATTTGAGGGATTTTAAATGTTCCCAGTAATTTAGGTGATGGAATAAATGAATATGGGCAGATGAATTTATCTGCAGATTTTTCAGATCTGAAATTTTCCTCCCTTAAGTGGTTTTTTAATGTACTATACAGAAGTATTCCAGTTTAGAGTGTAGAAGTTTTAAAGTACAGTATATAACATGTATCATTATTAGCTTAGCATCACTTGTTTTGAAGATTCTTGTTATTCGGCTTATTAATTTCTTAGCCCTAGTGATGGTAACATTACTGTAACTTGTCCTCATAAATTAAAAGTCAGTTTATGTTAGATTGCCATCCATTGATAAAAATTAATTAATTATATGTATAGCATACCACAGTGCCAGTAAATGAAACAACAAATAGAGATGATAAAATATTTTGAAGCACAAAGAGAAAACAGCAACCAACCGAGCACATTTTATAGTACAGTCAGATAATCATGGTTTAAGATTCATGTAACAGTCACCCATTTTACTGTCTTAATTACAGTGAAATACAGGACTGACTTTGATTAGGATGGGCTGCATTATTGAGTCCCTTGAATATAAGATCTCTCAAAATGATTGCTTCTAGATCCCTTACATTCTGCTTCCACTGTATTGAGTGGCTTGATTGGGTTTTGTATTCTGCTCCAGTTATATCAGCTTTGAATTTTGCTGTAAGTTTCATGGATACTATTTTCACACAAATTCAAGTATAGCATACAAAGTGTTGCACTGCTATGATTTATATCTTTTCCAATGCCAGATAATTGCTTTCACAGTGGTGGCCTTTGATTTTACTTTGCTAGTTATTACTTTATTGGTCTGATTTATTAAAAGTTTAATATTATTTACACATCTTTTCTGTTTTAATTATATGATTTCTGAGGCACAGACATAATACCACAATTTCAGTTTCCAACATTGTCTAACACACTATAAACTGTTTTTCAGCATTTCATCATCCATACTTTTGAATGTTATATTAAGGTGTATATTGATAAAGCATGTGAGTTCCTCACTACTGCACTTATATGGACTTCATTGATAATTATTTTTCATAATCACTCCAAGATCTTTTTCTGTCAGATGACATTAACATTTAATCCAACCATTCCATGGCACTTAACATTAAATTCCATCATTTATTTATTATTTCACTTCCTCAATTTGTCTAATTATTCCAGCATAATTTTAAGTCATTCTGATTTCCTATTTTATATTTCATTTTTTCATCTACAAACCTATTTATATATAAATCCTCTGGCAAGTCATTTACTGAATATAAATTAAAAAATCACTGGGGCAAAAATTACTACTTGTGGACCCCTTCAGTAAAAGATTTCCACAAGGACTTTTTCCTCTTTTTCGTTATTCTTTTCTATAAAAAATATCTCCTGGCAATAATTCACACTTTATTTCTCCTATACTGTATATTGTAGCTTGCAACTTAATTTGTCATGAGAAACTCTGCCAAAGGATTTTTAAATTCATCCATTTTGTTTTTATGCTATTTGTTGTTGTATCATAACTTGGACTGGAGTGTGTCAAAGTGCATGGATGTACTGGAAAGCATGTTTGTGAACCTAGTAAAGAGTAAAATCAACTAAATGTGGTTGGGAGAGAGGGAAGCTCTTTCTGATGGCAAGGCACTTGTCCCTGTCGATGTAAAGGGAATTGGTTTTGACCCCGAGGTCATGGTCGAGACGGGCCCTGATCTGGGCCAGACGGTGTAGCGAGTTCTCAGCCTCTGACAGCTTGTGACGTAGTGACTCCACACTCTCACTCAGCTCCTGCACCTCTCTTACCATTCTGGAACAAATAAATTCATCAGACACACCAATATTCACCAAAGTTCTCTGATTCTTACCAACATTAATACTCCACCAGCTGTCACCAAACTGCTAGCATCTGTGGCTCTAGTACCATCCTGCAACAAAACATGAGTTTGTACCTTATTCATCTCTGCCTCTCCTAAACATTCCCAAGTATCTTTACCAAGAGGTGTGTATTTCTCAGCATATTGTATACATGTATGTAAAGTAAACTCTCAGTATATATACAGTGGACCCCCGCTTAACGATCACCTCCCAATGCGACCAGTTATGTAAGTGTATTTATGTAAGTGCGTTTGTACGTGTATGTTTGGGGGTCTGAAATGGACTAATCTACTTCACAATATTCCTTATGGGAACAAATTCGGTCAGTACTGGCACCTGAACATACTTCTGGAATGAAAAAAATATCGTTATCCGGGGGTCCACTGTATACTACTGAGAGTTTACTTTAATCCCTATTTTAAAGAATAAATATTCTTGACTGGTGGTGAACAGGTGCAATGAAGCTTTAATGTCCCTCATGCTATTGATAGGCCTGAACACCTAATCTTCAACATTCTTCAGAATACTACCATTTACTGTAGTAAACCAACATTCTCTACCTCTTACAAGCATACTCCACTAATGCTGTCCAGGCAATACTGAGCATGCTGACCTGTGCTGTGGAGGATCTCTGCAAAGTTCTGTCTCTGGGCGGTGGGTTCGTCCTTCCAGCCTCGTCTGAACTACCTTCAGGGGGGCTGACTTGTCTAAAATGGCCTTCCTCAGCATATCAATATGGCGTTCCAAATCATTCATTTCCCGTTGAACCTTTTTAAGAAAATTGCAGCTGTTAATATATAGCATGCTGTTACTGTTCTTTATTTTTGGTGGATTGTTTTATTTCTTAGGAAAACATCCTTTGATAAGTCTTTATCAGATGATGACCTGCTGAGTGATATAATCATCCAATGATGTACAATAGCTAGGTATTCCACCCTGTTCATATATTTATTAAACAGAGACTCACTACATCGGTTATCACCAATGGTGGTAGAGTTAACGTGGCAATTAGCCTTTGTCTGAAAAAAAATTTAGGTTATTTTTTTCTCTCTTTTAACCACTCTTGTCTCACTCTCTCATTTACTCTCAAACTCTTCCATGCCCACCCTCTTCCTCCTTCCTTCTTTAACTCTTTCATCCATCCCTCACTATTTCTATTTCCTTCCTTCTCACTTTCTCCCTTCTCCCTCCCTCTTCTTCCTTGCTATCCCTCACCAGCATCCCTCCCTGTCTTACCCTGTCCCTGTGAGCTAGGAGTTTGTTCCTAGTGTCGCCAGTCTCTCCTGCACGGTGTGTGAGACAAGTGTTGGACGAGGACCAGGCCATCCACATATCCTGGTGGGTGGCAGCGATGAGAGAATCTACCTCCTGCCGCAACCGCTGTGAGCTGCTCCTCTCACTCTGACTCTGTTGGATGTTTCTGTTGCTCAGTTCTGCCCATGTCTCTGGCACACTCACCCTGGGAGTAGGGGCATATATGCAGCACTGAATGAGCACAGGATTACCATTTTCTTTGTGATACAAATAACAGTAGGCTTGTCTTACTCACATACAGTATATCCATTCCCACTCATGTATCATGGGGATGTAGTATTACTAAATTCACCTATTATGTTAACTTGTTTATTAGTTCTGTAACTGAATCCAATATTTTTGTAAACGTGTTCATTACTACTGTAACTTAATCCATTATTGTTGGTCTAACTTAATATGGATGATTATGGAGTAAAGTATAGGGTGTGTTGAAAGGAATGTATCTTACGTATTGTCAACTCTCTCGATGCCTGGGTAGTAAGTGATGGCGGCAGAGTAATTATGGAGGGAGTGTTGTGTGTGGTCAATGGTAAGAGCATGGTTCTTGTTCATGGTATCATGCTCGAGGTCCTGGCGGGCTGCCCTGTTCCGACTCAGCTGTGACAAACGTGCATTCATTACTTATGACTCACAAGGAAAAAGTAGCATTGCAGTAGGCCTGCTTTCTTATACTAGGCAGGTCATAAACATAATCAACTCTGCATTTCCACTCACAAATCAGAAATCTGTTCAACCCACTCTTCCCTTCAAGGTAAGTGCCTTATTGTCACTGAATTGAGGTACCTGTTGTTTATGTTGAATCTGATTCCCTCCCATTCTGTAGATGCTAGTATGACCCCTACAAGTGTAATAATGAATACCCATTTCAAAGGGTGCCTTAATGCTGGTAGAGGGCTTTTGATCCATGAACTGGAAATACCTATGATCAAATATGATTACTCTCATTTCACCTGTTTCCCAGGTGCTGTATGACCCTTACCCCTAAAGGAAGGTTCCTTGATGCTGATTCAGGGAATTGATTTAGATCTCTTCCCTCCCTTGAATAGAACCACCCATCAAGAGAGGTGCCTTGATGCCAGTGAGGGGGGCTCTTGATCCAGAGAACTGTATTTACCCTCCTCTGGATCGAACCTGAATGTCTCCCTCTCCTCAGGTGTGTATGGGTTTATCTCTTCCTAATGATTAAAATACCTGTATACTGAGTCAAACCTGATTGCCTTGCATTCCCCCAATAATAATAATAAACGATCCTTAGGACTTTAGTCCTCCCTTATGAATATCAAAATACTGTGGACTCACCTGAAGGTTGACACGGTCAAGGAGGTTCTTCATACGGGTCTGGCAGTCCTTGATGGTGTCCACTTCCCTCAACATAGCCTCCTCAGGCTGGTCCCTCACCAGGTCAATTCCTGAAGCAGCATAATGTTTACTTACACAAATACACACACACACATATCATCGATATTTAGTGAAATGCCTTATGACTGCAAGGTAATAAATGTAATACCAGTGTTCAAGAAACAAGCAGAAAACCCTGAACTACAGATCAGTTTCACTAACAAGTTAACAAGTAAATTCCCGGTAAAGAGGATAAGAATTTTTTTTTTAATCTACAATAACTAGTGCCATCATACCATTTCCAGCAATAGAGAATTATGCCAAGGAAAACTTACAGTAACACATTAGATTCATCTGTAAATAAAGGTGGCTTAATCCCCTTTCAATCTCCAGATGCTGTACAACCCTTACAGTTTTCATGCTTTCCCATAATTATAAATAATAAGTTGCCAGCTACCCACCTTGGCGATTCTCTCTGAAATAAAGACACTCCTTGGTGACATGAAGTGGGTTCTCTGTGTCTCTGTGTGCATGTTCTAGTGCTCTTCTGGAGTCGTTAAGACGGTTGGTCTCAGCCAACATGCGGTCCAGCTCCTGCATCAGCTCACTCCTCCAGAAAGTGATATCACTCACCCGCTCCCCCAGCCGCTGGGAACTCTCCCGCTGGGCTATGTTAGTACGATCATAGGTGTACCTGAAGGAGGGCCCAAAAGATGTTATCACATAACAATAATAGTCACTGGTGTCTCACCTATTAATGACTTTACCACCCTGAGGAGGGTGCCTTTTTGCCTGTGAGGGACTCTTGATCCGGGGAAATGAACCTGTCCTTCCATTCATTAGTCTGAATCTTATTGGCTCTCATTTCCCAAGTAGTATACGACACCAACAAGTTTAGCACCTTCCCCTGATTATAATACAGTATAAATAGTTATGACTTTACTAGTGTGACACTAGAAGAGAATGGGCCAGCATTCTGACTCACATGGATACTCTACACGTTCTAAGGTTCGCAGACAAACACACACACATATGGGGCCAGGAGCTGTGAATCGAACCCTGCAACCACAACTAGGTGAGTACACACACACACACATATATACATGTACTGTAATACAGTTGCAGACAGGTGATCCCAGCAATGCAAGACAAGCCATTCAAATTCAAATGGGAGATGGAAATCTTCAGCTCAAGATCTTTTACACGTATCCATGCATCATCAGGAGCTATGCAATGCTGCTACTCTTGCAACAGTACATAGCTCCTAATGATGCACATAGACATGTAAAATATCTCGATTTCCAGCTCCCATGGCTTGTCTTGCATTAAGATCGCTTGTTTGCGACTGTACTGCAATATGTATGTATGTATGTATGTATGTATGTATGTATGTATGTATGTATATATATATATATATATATATATATATATATATATATATATATATATATATATATATATATATATATATATATATATATATATATATATATATATATATATATGCATAATCACAGTAAACAGGTGATTTTCAAAAATATGCAAAAAACAACCATCTGAAAGAATAGAGAAAATTTCCAAGCGCTTTCGTGACTACTCACATATCAAGGAACTTGATAAATGTGATAGTCACCGAAAGTGCTTGGATTTCTCTATTCTTTCAGATGATGGGTTGTTTTGCATATATATATATATATATATATTATATAATATATATATATATATATATATATATATATATATATATATATATATATATTTCAACAAGTCGGGCCGTCTCCCACCGAGGCAGGGTGACCCAAAAAAGAAAGAAAATCCCCAAAAAGAAAATGCTTTCATCATCATTCAACACTTTCACCACACTCACACATTATCACTGCTTTTGCAGAGGTGCTCAGAATACAACAGTTTAGAAGCATATACGTATAAAGATACACAACATATCCCTCCAAACTGCCAATATCCCAAACCCCTCCTTTAAAGTGCAGGCATTGTACTTCCCATTTCCAGGACCTCAGTCCGACTATATGAAAATAACCGGTTTCCCTGAATCCCTTCACTAAATATTACCCTGCTCACACTCCAACAGATCGTCAGGTCCCATATATATATAATATATATATATATATATATATATATATAAATATATATATATATATATATATGTGTGGTGTGGTTTATGTGTGTGATGATTATATAGTATCACTATTGTGTGCCGAAGTCCAGACTTGGCCCCCTCTTGGCTTAAATAGCCCTCATCTCTCGCCATACTTTGGACAAAGCAAAATGTGTATGTTTGCAATAATTTCGGCAAAATTCCATCTTGAACCTAACGAAAAAATATTACTTCACCTGTTTTGTTTAATATTAATTATTGTAAACAAATCTAAAATACTATTTTGTTGGGTTAGGCTAAAATAAATTGTTTTTGTTATAATAAGGTTAGGTAAATTTTCATAAGTTCCTTTGGTGCAAAATTATAATTTTTTACATCAACATTAATGAAAAAAATATATCTTTAAACGTATAAGAGAAAATTTTAGAAAGGACTTAATTTAAATGAGTTCTTGCTAATTGACCAGTTTTACATATTCGGCACGGGCATTTTATATATTATATATATATATAAAATATATATATATATATATATATATATATATATATATATATATATATATATATATATGTGTGTGTGTGTGTGTGTGTGTGTACTCACCTATTTGTAACTCACCTATTTGTGGTTGCAGGGGTCGAGTCCTAGCTCCTGGCCCTGCCTCTTCACCAGTTGCTACTAGGCCCTCTCTCTCCTCGCTCCATGAGCTTTATCAAACCTCGTCTTAAAACTGTGTATGGTTCCTGCCACCACTACGTCATTTTCTAGGCTATTCCACTGCCTTACAACTCTATGACTGAAGAAATACTTCCTACTATCTCTCTGACTCATTTGTCTTCAACTTCCAATTGTGGCCTCTTGTTTCTGTGTCCCCTCCCTGGAACATCCTGTCTTTGTCCACCTTGTCTATTCCACACAGTATTTTATATGTCGTTATCATGTCTCCCCTGACCCTCCTGTCCTCCAGTGTCGTCAGGCCGATTTCCCTTAATCTTTCTTCATAGGACATTCCCCTTAGCTCTGGAACTAATCTTGTCGCAAACCTTTGTACTTTCTCTAGTTTCTTGACGTGCTTTATCAAGTGCGGGTTCCAAACAGGTGCTGCATACTCCAGTATGGGCCTGACATACACGGTGTACAGTGTCTTGAATGATTCCTTACTAAGGTATCGGAATGCTGTTCTCAGGTTTGCCAGGCGCCCATATGCTGCAGCAGTTATCTGATTGATGTGTGCTTCCGGAGACATGCTCGGTGTTATACTCACCCCAAGATCTTTCTCCTGTGTGTGTGTGTGTGTGTGTGTAGGATTGCTGGTGTCTTTTGTCTGTCTCATAAACATGCAAGATTTCAGGTATGTCTTGCTACTTCTACTTGCACTTAGGTCACACTACACATACATGTACAAACATATATATACACACCCCTCTAGGTATTCTTCTATTTTCTTTCTAGTTCTTGTTCTTGTTTATTTCCTCTTATCTCCATGGGGAAGTGGAACAGAATTCTTCCTCCGTAAGCCATGCGTGTTGTAAGAGGCGACTAAAATGCCGGGAGCAAGGGGCTAGTAACCCCTTCTCACGTATAAATTACTAAATTTAAGAGAAACTTTAGTTTTTCTTTTTGGGCCACCCTGCCTTGGTGGGATATGGCCGGTGTGTTGAAAGAAAGAATATATATGTATATATAAACAAGTCGGCCGTCTCCCACCGACTAACACCCAGGTACCCATTTTTACTGATGGTGAACATAGACAACCGTTGTGAGGAAACACGTCCGATGTTTCCATCCCTTCGCCGGGAATCGAATCCGGACACTCACCGTATGAAGCGAGAGGTTTTGCCACCAGGCCACGATACAAAATATACCGAGCATACTCTGTACCTTCAACAACATCAACTGGACTACCCTGGTCTTGCTCACTACACTACAATATTAAAAAATGAAAGCAACTCACCCCACGAGCCGGACAGCATCGTCTCTGACCCTCTCTGAGATGCCTCTGGTACCATCAGCATCGCTGTAGTGGTCCAAATTACCTGCCAAAAATTACTGGTAAACTCTAAAACAATGCGTTTGTATGTATAATTGTATGAATTCAAATATATTACTTGAAGCTACTTAATAAAGTTGTTCTTTTGCCTGTTGAGAATCATATTTTGTAAAAAAGATCTTTTTTCTTGAGATAGGGCGCCTTGATGCTGGTGCAGGTCTTTTAATCTAAGAAATTAAATCTGTCCTACACCAATTTGGATCAAACCTGATTACCTTTTCGTGGGCACTATATGACCCCTTAGTTTTTTTTACACTTAGTACTACTACTAATATATTTAGAACAATACTTTCGAAATTAACCACAACTAGCTCGACTGATTATATTTATCAGAGATAATACAGAAATAAGAAAAATCTAGCTTATCCATGTTGAGTCATCAAATAATGTAGAGCTAGCAAAAGCAAACCATCTATGGTAAAATTTATCATGCAATATGACGAAGATAATGGCTTCACATTGCTTAGTATTTCAGTCATGCAATGGGCTAGTCAGAATTCACAACGTAAGTAGCTGTATATATATATTTTCCTTACATTTTTAGTTAATTATTTAGACAACTTGGCCAAGTCGCACTGAATCCTGGAATCTTGCAGGTTTATTTGTTTATAGTATGTTACTTCAGCTATGTTATCTTGTATTTGCGACGAGAAGCTAGCTAGCTTGTAATAAAACTAGCAATAAATGAAGAATAAAATTAAAATAAATTCACATGTAACCCACAGATTGAAAATGAAATTTGCATGGCGCTTTGGTCTGTCATACATTATTATCAAGTCGTTCAGTATACATTTTAATTTTATAAGTTAGGTGTTAAAAGAAAAATAGTAAAATATAGTCTGAATTGGGCAAAGATTAGCAAAATAATAGCAGTAACATGCATAGCTATGGTGTACTAGTGAAATAGTCATCTTGCATCTAAGTTAGGGCCGGACTTTCGCCATTAACTAAGGTACAGCTAAGCTCTTAGAATCTGAGGGATATAAGAAGAAATTACCCCACTTCCCTCTACACTTTACATATTTCGACTTTGGAATCTTTGGTGTTACTTAAATTTTACATAGCTTAGAGCTTCACGAGGTCAAAATCCGGTCCTAAACATCTTTGACAAAGGTATCCCATCAACTGTGTCCCACCAGTTACAAGTTAGCCTGGGAGCCAAACAAAGGAACTAGTCTAGCTATGATGAACCTAGGAAGTGACGGTACTCTGTGACCAGTCAGCCGGGGTATATCTGGTCTTCATGGTGGAGGTGGCAGACGTGAATATATTGGGAAATCTCACGGCGTCCAGAACTCTGCTCTCTGTAGGATACGACCTGCTCAAAGTAGGCGGCACTAGAGATAGGCTGGGAAGAATGAAAAAAAAAAAAAGTATATTTTAGTATCTCATAGAACTAATGCGTAAGAAAAATTCATGTTTGAATGAAGGAAAACTCTTTACATGATTGAGTATGACAGGAAAACCATTCTGTATGACTGCGTATGAAGTAAAAACCATGTATTGTAATGGAATATGACAGGAAAAGCCGTTTAATGGGACATGGAAAAATTTTTCTACATGACAATGACAGGAAAACCACTATATAGTGGAGTGTGATAATAAACCATCCTGTGTGATGGAGTATGAGAGGAAAACCTTCCTGTTTGGTGAAGTATGACATGAAGACTGTGATATATGATTGTAAACTCCTCCCATGTGATGAAATACATGAATAAGTAAGTAAGTGTGATGTAGTATGGTAAGATAATCATCTTGAGTGATGCAGTATGGCAGGAAAATCATCCTGTTTGATAGATTATGAAGAGAAAATAACCCTGTATGAGAAAACATCTCAGGAATATTATTCTGCGTGATATGAGTTATAGGTAAACGTAGTCAAGTGTTTGTTCTAACTTTGTAAAATGTCACATAGATGAAGGTATCCACACAATGTATTGTATCAAATTTTCGTATTTTTTTCAGCTAAGCTCTTGGTGTAATATATTCAGCAAACCTCTTGGCTCATTGATTTAGTATAATCATTACCTTTAAGATGAAGACAAACTGTTATATTAAGATGGCATAATATTGATAAAGATGCAAAAATAATAAATATAATAATAATGGTAATAGTATTGCTGCTGCTGCTACTACTACTACTGTGGAAAATTGCATTTATCTGAATGTAACTCATTATGTACATAACAGAAAATGATAACAAAGATAATTATTATTTATCAGTTACATAGACAAGTAGGAATTTGGGACACCTAGGTCGCAAAAAATGTCCCCCTTCGATACCTACCACTGTCATATCCACAAGTTGCTCTGGACCTATTAGTCATAAATGATTTGTATCACCAGGAATGCTGGTAAATATATAAATTTGTGGACTGTATATTAATAAATTATTATAGATACACATATATACACATTTACACAACAGAAGGAGAATATATCTAAATATCACTCACCAATTTGACTGGAGATTAATGTGTATCATACTCAGAAAACCTCACTCTAACTAAATCTATGAAAATAATGCTGGCCAGAATTATACACAAATCTAGAGAGCTTATCTGAGGTTCCTGGAGCTGTCTTGTCCAGTCGTCTGATATCTCAAGTTATGCAGGAATGC